GTTGCATAATAGTATGTACAGTAGTAATAGCATGTGTAGCAGAAACTCTCAGTTTGAATACTTTCTGAACCCAATAGGTCATGTCGCTGGCATTTTAGAAGATTTATCTTTAATTTGCTTAAAACATTTACAAAGGGATTTATAACCTAGTGAGATGTAATGGGCTGTTCTAGATGGAGCTTACTTGTCAATATGAAGAACATCAGAGAAACATGAAGAGCTGACAGATGGTTACAGGGGACTTTGCCTCTTGGTGACTGAGCTCCAGGAGTCTTTAATCCAGAGGTAAGAGAGAGAGAGAGCCCTGCTTGCAGTCTCCAGATCCAGTGCAGTGTTAATAATTCTTACATTAAACATTAATTGCACTTGTTCCAAAACTGAGAGGCTGATTTAATGCAATGTGGCACTTGGCAGCACAGGAAGTCCTCTCACATGATGAGTGATAGAGAAGAACTGCAATGAGTTTCACTCAGAGGTTTTAAGTCATTACTTGAAGTCACAGTATCAGCCAACTGAGTCAGGGGGTTGTGGGTTCAAGGCCCAAGTTAGGTTTTTGAGCTCAGTCTAAGCGGATGCTTCAGTGAAATACTGGGGGGAGGGGGCTTGCATTATCGGAGGCTTGTCTTTCAGATGAGACATTAAACCGCGGTGCTCTCTACCTGTTCCAGTGGATGTTAAAGATCCCATGGCATGCTTTGAAAAGAGAAAGGAGTTCTTCCTATTATCTGATAACATCAGATAATAATAATGTGCATTTCATACAGAGCCTTATCATGTCATGTCAAGATAATTGGCAAAAGAACCAGAGGGCAGGTGAGAATTTTTTTCCCAGAGTTGTTACGGTCTGGAATGCACTGCTTAAAACATATTCAATCGCAACTTTCAATTGGGAATTGGATAGGTACTCGAAGAGGAAAAATTTGCAAGGTATACGGGGAAAGAGTGGGGGAGTGGGACTGATTGGGTAGCTGTTCCAAAGAGCCAGCAAAAGCACAATGGGCCGAATGGCCTCCTTCTGTGCTATAATATTCTGTGATTCTATGATTAAGATGTCTCAAAGCGCTTCACAGAATATATTGTAAAGTGGATTGACAATATTTTGTGGGCGAAATCAGATCAAGCAATCATTCACCTCAATATTGCTAGTAGAGTATTCTATTGTACCTGTTATTACAACACAACACTATACATGGTCGGGGTGGGGAAGAGCTAGAGAAAATGTAATGTTTCAAACAGATTTTGTTATGTTAACAAAAGCACTAACACATGGGATTTTGCTATGTGTACAATAGGTGTCGCATTTGCCTACAAAAACAGTCACTAGTGTAATGAGAGTAATTACTGGGAAATACTTGCTGTGTTTAGGCTTTAAATAGGTTATATAAAAAATGCAAATTCTTTCTTCTGTTCTTACATGGTAGCAGAGATTGGGTTGGGAATACTGCCTTGCGTGGGTGAGAAGAGAAATTCCCACAAATCCCGGAGATAATAAATATTACTGATTTAGATTGAAGCTGCTTGAAACATTGAAACCATTAATTGCCTTACCAAAGCAAGACTAACCTCGATTCCCTTATCTTTCTGCAGATTGTTCTTACTCTTTAATACAATCAGCTATTTTCAGAAAATTTTAAGCGTTCCAGCGAAGATAATTATCTTAAGGATTATTAATATTACTGATTATTATCGAATACACTAACAAGTGGAGTGAATAGAATTATTGGACCAGAATTCTTGTATGATTTATTGATTGCCAATTAAAGTATTGAGTATTCGCATCGGGAAGATATCTCAAAGCATTTGCACTGAAGTCTATTGAATGTGTATTTGGTAAGCAAAATCATTTCATTATTTTATGATGATAATTCTCGCAGGTTACATATCATATTTGGTAACAATAATTCTCTCACTTAATTTCTAATTGAAATTAAACTTCATTCTGTCAAGCGTTTCGAGATGGTTCTTTTACATGGAAAGTCCTGGATTGTGAGTTATGTGTCCTCAGGCCTGGACTATCCTTTAATTGGCAATCAATAAATCGTACAAGAATTCTGGTCCAATAATTCTATTCACTCCACTTGTTAGTGTATTCGATAACATCAAATCTGTTTTGAAACATTTGCATTTTTTCTTGCTCTTCCCTCCTCCACTACGCACAGTGTTGTGTTATAATAAGATACAATAAAATGCACAAACTGGTTTCAAACTAATCTCATAGTTCAGATTGTGTTTGAGAGAGATGATTTTACTAATGCTGTTTACAATTGTTCTATATTTTCATGGATTAAAATGGTGAAATACATGGTGATTGGGGCAAAGGGCTAAACACAGACCAAGGTATCAGTACTGTCTAGACTGACCCAGTTATATTTTTTTAAAAATATTGCCATTAGGAGCAGGCCTGAGTTTTGTTTGTACGTTGTCTGACTGAACAATGTACAAAAAGTCCAAAGGGATTGGCAAAAACGCCACTTAAAATTAGAGGCATCAGCATTCAGATCAATCAACACAGACCACCGAGGCAGCCCTCCTACAACAATACCTCCTCAAGGTAATATGTGAGTAGATACGTGGGTAGAAATTGGACAGATGAGACCAGACAGGAGTGACGTTGGAGAAATGATCGAGGGAGATTCAAGTTATTTGCAAATGAATGAGATCCATGGCACTGAAATTACGTTTGCGATTTTTTTTAGTGGAACTGAATTGGATTTCTTGCCTCCTGTTTTATGAAATGTTTCAAACTTGATTAACAAACTCATAAACTTCCTTTTTGTTAATGTATCTATCAAAACACTGTTAACACTTTAAGTTGACCAAAACCGCCTGTGATTTTCTACTGAAGAGCATAAATATCCCAGAAAATACTGGCTTGTGTTAAGTCTATTTTGGATCCTGGAGTTCAATTAAATTATAGAAACACATAGAAATTAAGGATCAAGGCCATTCAACCCATTGAGCATGCTCCATTATAGATATTCCATGGTTCTCTTGTTGTGAAAGGAGCTATATTATAATAATAATAATCCTTGCACTTGATATAGCGCCTTATCACGTCTTCGAGACATCTCAAAATATACTGTAAAGTGAATTTTGTGGGCGAAACTGAAATGTAAGGATAATAAGGCTAAACATAAGGATAATAATAATGATAATAACCTTATCACATTCGAGCACCTTGGGATGTTTTCTTGACGTGAAAGGCACTATTACAAATGTTATAGTTGTTGTTGTCACGTGGTTGGAATATTATTATTATTATATTCAAGGCTGATGAGCGAAATCAGCTGATGAATTGTCTATTCCAAGCCATTCTGGCCTTATCAGTTGCAATAATAATAATCCTTACATCCAAAGCATTTTACCAGATACACTGTAAAATGGAATGAATGGCTGTGGATTGTTCCTACGAGGCATCACACACTGCACAGGCTCAATGAGTGGCTTGGGGTACACCTGAAGGTAACAGCCACGTTGGAGCCTCATAGAGTATTCGATAAAGATGAAGCCAGATACTTATAATAAAAACTGTGACAAATAGCAAGCGGCAGCTAGCATTACTCATCATTCACAGCCTCTCTTCTCATGAAAGACATTAGTGAGACACTTCTGTTCTCTCTGAGAGACAGCTTTGATAAATACATCAGCCCTTTTAGATGGCATGATTTGCAAACAGCTTTCAGCCATTCTGCCTCTGCTTTGTGATTGGAACTCACTCCCAAAATTCCTCCCAACTTGCAAACACACATCCGCTTTCTGTATCTTCAAAGACACCTCTTCCAAAAACCTCTCTCTCTCTGTGCCTTCCCTCCTTGGCATCCACCTACTTCCCATCTTGCTCAGGTTTTCACACTGTCCCTGCAAAGCATGGCAGCGAATTCAACATGAAGGACAAGTTGTTGTTGTTTTCCCTGTCTGTCTGATGTTCTTATGCACAGCATCACAGATTTATTTGCAGTACTGAATTCTGCCAGCAGGAAGTGCTCTTGTACATTAGAGAAGAACATCTCAAATGTTTCACCAGCTCTGGAGGAACACAGTACTAACCACAGGCATATCTGGGTTTGGCTCAAGAATTCCCACTCGGAGTGAATATTCAAATGGCACTTGATCTTTCTAATTAGCTCACAGTCCCCAGTTGAGTAGCTTTTGTGCACGTAACATTAGGCAACATAATAACTGTTTGCAAAACAGTACGAGGCAGCATACCGTCCTGGTATAACATTCTCATTCGAACATGTTATTATAATAAAAATAATTATCCTTGCATTTGATATAGTGCTTTTATCACATCTTCAAGACGTCTTAAAGCGCAATACAGAATAGACTGTGTACTATTACACATTATTCAGCATATTGAATGTTGCATGCACATGGTGAAATTCCCTTCTTTTTCCAAACATTCTTATGACACCTAATGAACAGGTATATGGGACCTCGGTGTAACATCTAATCTCAAGATGGCAATGATGGCCTCCTTGTACTACATTAGTGTCAGCCTGCACTATGAGTTCAATTCCCAACATAGAGCTTAAGCCTTTGATTACAATTGTTTGAGGGGAAAAGACATTGCCTTCCCCACAAACTCTACACACAGTTGGGTTAGGAATGGGAAGCCAAAAATTACTTCTTAATTGCACTGTGAATCTCCACCAATTCCCTTCTCCTTTTCTTGGGAGTAAGGTCCTCATCACTCAAACTCACAGGGCTGTTCCATTATCTAATCTAACCAGAGTAATCAGTTCCCATAAAGATTGGTCTGTTGGTGTAGTTAATAATAATCCTGGCGTGTGATATAACCCTAGCGATACAAATGTAATTTTGTTGTTGTTGTTATCACATCATTGAGACGTCTCAAAGTGCCTCACAGAATACATTGTAAATTGACTGTATTTGTGGGTGAAACACGGCAGGCAATTGTGAACAGGAGTGTTCCACAAACAGTCATGATCAATTTATTTTTGTGAGGGATTATTACCCCCAGAAAGCGATCCGTCAATCGATTAACAACCGTTTTCCTACTTGCTGCTAGGCAACAGAGCTTTGTAGAGTAACATTAACTAGTAAAACATTTATTCAGTTTATAAGAACAGACAGAAACATATACAGAGAGTGGTCACCAGAAGCTAGCACAAACATGCTTGCAAGCCCAGTTGCGAGGCCATAGCCTCTAGTTCCCGTTGGTGTGCGATCGGATGTTTTTGTCTCCAGAGAATTCGGCAGTAGGTTCTTCTGCGAGGCGGACCCGGTGAGCTGAGGGGGTGCTGCAGCTGTTCCTGCTGCTTTGTGAGGAGACACCAGGTCCTTGGCTGAGTTTCTGCACTCGATCGCAGATGTCGCAAATGTTCCTGAAGATATCTTCTATGTCACACTTTTTAAAGCTACGTGAAGAAAAAATAATTTTTAACCTTATGGGATCTGAAAATGTGCTATTTCTTAACAGGATTCTTTTATGATGGAATTCCAACCTATTTAGAAAACCCACCGGCAATCTGCTCTGAAATTAGGTTGGATCGGAAAAGAGTTCCCGTGGGTCGGAGTGATTTCTTTTCTTATTAAGGAATATTAAGAAATTGCACCTTTTAGATCCCTGCATTTTCAACAAAAAAACCTCATAGATACAAGAAAAGTTTCCAACCTTCTACTCTCCCATCACATTCCCTGTAGAGGCCTGAACTGTAGTTCTGTTCTGTTAAAATTATGCAGTTTCCCCTGATGTTCCAAATATGCAATTTTGCAACCTTTTCATCCTCTCTACATCTCTCAATTGAAATCCAGACCCGTTGCACTGCCTCCTATGTTTCATTCATTTCACTCATTCTTTTCCTGCACCTCAGCAATATAATAATAAGTAGCCTTGCATTTGATATAGCGCCTTATCACGTCTTTCAGACACCTCAAAACGCTTCACAGAATATATTGTGAATTGGACTCGCACCCAGTTTTCCCTTCCTCCTATAACCTGCAGGCTTGTACAGATGAGAACAAAACCGCTTGTTCCTTACAACCAGGTAAGATGATGTGGACATAATAACTGTCATGCTTACTTTATCACTGCCGAAAGCTTGGATCAATGAGTGTGGTTGAATCAGGTCTATTAAATAACTTTGGGAGAACATGCAACTTTCTTTTCTCAACACACTGCAAGTCAGGGCCCAGGGGAACTGGGACACATGTATTGTTTAGTAGCTAGATTCTAAAATTATGATTTTAAAATTATGCAGTTTAAAATCAGACTAAGGAACTACTTCTTTTCACTTGAATTGTAAAATCTGGATCTCTGTTTTACACTTGATCCAGATTTTTCCTTTGGGTTCAATGTAATTGATGTAATTGAAGTGGCCAATATTTAACACGTGTTTGCAAAATAAGATGTAAATAAAGTTCAGGTGACTATTCCAAGAATTGTGTAGCAGTAGTTAATAATTTTCACACCAAATGTTGCAGTCGTTTGAATTTAATTTCTGTTTCCATTTAACGTGAAATTTGTATCCTGTGATTTCCTAAATTTAGACTTCTTGAGTAAATAATATAAATACTATAGTGTCTATGCATAATCCAAGCTCTATTTGATGTTTTGGGACACTGCTATTATGAAATTGGCTGCTGCATTTCGCCCACAAAATACACAGTAAATATCAGTTTACAGTATATTCTGTGGAGCGCTTTCAGATGCCTCGAAGACGTGATCAGGCGCTATATCAAATGCAAGGATTATTATTAGATTCAACCAGCTGTCTTGTGATGAACGGTATAATATTCTGGTATTATGCTGCCACGATACCATTATTACCTCTTTAGTCGAAAGGTCAGCATGAACTTGATCTACATCTTAAATTATGAGTGCAAACTGGAAAGCGGTGAAGTGACATCACAGCCATTGAACACGTATTACCCCCAGCCTTCTTCTGTCTCTTCACATTTCTCTCCCTTGTCTTGGCACAATCAGCCACAAAATAAATGAGTAACTTTATTTGGAGAAATTTTTGGCCAAGGCACCCTTCTCTATTCAATTCTGTTGTGGGATCTGAACATCAACCTGAATGGCAGATGAGTAAGGGAAATGTTTGCTTGATGATGATAAGCAGCTGGAAAGAACTGAAATAGCCCCAAGAGAAATGATTGACGCTTTTTGTCATGACTGAATGTTTAGCCCCTCAGTACCTACGTTTCAGTCGGCTGCTGGTAAAATAGATGTTTTTGCAGGCGAATAATTTCATCCCTGAGCAGACGGATTTCAGATTCCATTGCGCAGCAGCGGAAATGCTCCTGGTGTAGTTGCAGCCGTAGGTCCTGCCAGGTACAAATTGGGTCAAATTGTGGAGTCCTGTAGCTCAGTGGTTAGAGCACTCGCTTTGCAAGTGAGAGACCTGAGTTCAATTCCAGGCAGGGCGAAACCTTGGGCAAGTTTCCTTACTCCACACAGAGCCTAATAATAATCCCTCCAAAACTAAAACAATAATTAAATTGGTCATTTTCAATCTACGACTGTTTGTGGGACATTGCTGTGCGCAATTGGCTGCCGCGTTCGCCCACAAATATACAGTCAATTCACTTTACAGTGTGTTCTGTGAAGCGCTTTGGGACGTCCTCCCGACGTGAAAAGCGCTATATCAAATGCAAGGATTATTATTATTATTATTATTATTAAATCTTCTGTGAGGTAATAGCTTTCTCCATAACACCGTTACCACCAACTACAACAGCAAAAGCTTGCACTGAAATAGTGCCTTTCACACAGGAAAAATGTTTTGAGCATCTTTGCTTACAATGACAATGTGTTGCTGTAGGATGGATATTCTGGTAGGATGAAATCAAATGGGCCGAACGGCCTTACTCATCCCAATCTGTTTTGTCACCAGGTAGGGTGGGAAGAAGGTGAAGTTTGAGGATGATAAACAAAGTTGTGGTCAAACAGATGGGGATTTTAAGAAGGTTTTGAAGGCATAGGGAGAAGGAACAAGGTGAAGTGATTGGGAGAGTTGGAGTGGAGGCATAAAGTGGGGCATAGGAGCTGGAATGGTGAAAGGAAAGATTGAGAAATGAACAATGGATCGAAGTACCACTAACATAAGCCTTAAGGTCCCTATTTCCCTTACCTTATGGATGCATGTTGCACATTAAAGTAAACAATTTTTTTTAAGTATTATATTACAGTACACTTTGACATTGATGCAGTCTGATTGACCCAATCTGATGCACTCAACTGTATATTAATAACATGTTGGTGGTCTGTGTCTCCTTTAGTTTTAGTTGTATAAGTTTTGGGATCGAAACTTAGTAGGAAGAGGTCACCTCTACTTTTTGCCTCCAGCCTCTAACTTCTTTGTACGAGCTCTCCTCCAAGCGGTGAATTTCTTCTGCTATAGAGGACGTGGATTTCTTCAGGACTTGCTGCACTGCTTCTGCACTGAAGCCACGCGCAATAACACTGGAACAAAAATGGAGCAAATGTATCACCGAGCTTACCATCTTACACAGAGGCTCAGAAGTAAAGCCTGCAGTGGATCTAAGTAATAATAATAATAGTTATTGCTAACATAAGCCTTACGTCTCTAATTGAGCCCGGCTGGTTGACTGACTGCCCCACTTTGATGCTTTATCAAATGAATGCTTACTCTCCACTCTTGGGCTTGGTCAGTAAATAGCTGCTTCTGTGACTCAGCTCGTTTGCTCTCTGCAGCTCAGTCAGTATAGATTCCAGCAGGGACCGTACCCTTGGAAGATCACTTGTATCTGTTGCGATTTTCACAACAGTTTCGGACGACTCATTCATGCTGAAATTGAGTTTAATATATCAGATTAGTTTCTGCCCTCAGGAATGCAATACAACAGATTTAATTAGGAACTATATAGCAACTATATTGTCTGTCTGCAATGTTATGTATTGCTCAACATTATTCTGTGCATCTGCTCGCATATCTCAATCTTCATGAATGATGGTAATTTGATGCAATAGGAAGTTGTTTTATCAAACACTTTATTTTGTTAAACAAGTTAAGTTGAGGTACACACAAATCCCAATTGCTGTAAATAACAAGGTTTTATCAACAACAAGATTACATTTGTATAGCGCCTTTCACGTCAGGAGGACGTCCCAAGGCGCTGGAAATCGACAACAACTTGCATTCCTGTAGCTCCCTTTTTGCAGGGTAGCATCGCACAGCACTTAAAAAGGTAGTTTATAAAGGGATGGTGCATGATAAAGTCTTTTAAGGAAACTATCCAGAGACACAACATTTCTCACCTAAAACCGGTTTCATAATTTAAAATTGGGCGGAATTTGGGAAAATTCTTTAACTAAATCTTAATTTGGATGCTGGTTTTCCGCAGTTATTAAAAGCTACCGGCGTCCAAATCGTTCTTGATAAGAATTTTCCAAACTTTGCACTCTTAAAGAAAGAAAAAATGCTCTCAAGCCCTAAAAGTGTTAGAAATTCCAGGCCTCTGAATACTACCGTTCCATAGTGACACACTAAGTCAGAGAAATCCTGCACTGCTGGGAGTTGATGCGTTTTCAGGTTTATGGTTAATGAAAAAGTGTGCAGTTATAGTTGGAATAAATAAGGAGGGATTACCTGATGGAAACATCATTTGTCTCTGCTCTGAAATCACCAAGCATTTTATGCAAACTGGACTCTTGCTCTTGACTGATTTCCCATTGATGCACCAGATTGCTCATCTTGTCCTTAGCCTTGTCTGTCTGCCTGAACACCTCGTCAGTCAGGATACTGTCCTGATGATACTCTCTGTTGAAATCTACTAGTGTTTTTCTGGAACAATTGCAAATGGAGAAATCAATTTGATCTGCGATACCTACTCAAAGGTCATTCATATATAGGTCATAGATTTGCAAATGCAAGGATTGTTATTATAGATTTGAAAAGGGCAGATAGCCATTAAACTGGATAATCTAAAATAATACAACATTAACATGTCAAAATGTCACAAAGCATGCTACACATAATTGCTATTACGTGTAGTGACTCCTTTTGTAGGCAAATGTAGCAACCAGTGTACATACTGCACGCATCCTACAAAGATCCACACAAATGACCAAATAATCTGAAGGATTCTTGGTTTGCGCATTGGGAGAAACTCACTTTTCTTCATTAACTTAGGTGCTAAAGTGGGGTTTGAACCCTCAACCTCCTTACCCCCAGAAAGAGTGCTACCTATGGAGCCGAAGGTGAGACTTAAGCAAGTCTGTTGTATGGAGATAGACTGAAATGACCAGATATACTTCATCTTCAGGCCACCTGCCTTTGTTACTTCTGCTGCTTAGGGAACAATTAGTCTCCCAGAATGGTATTTACCATTTCGTTGCGGTTGGCTACAAATGTTAGAGATCTGGAACAATTAGTCTCCCAGATCTCTAACATGTGTAGCCAACCACAACAAAATGGTAAATACCACCATACTTTATCTGGCATCTCTCCATTCGTATGACTCAAGATTGGGAACTGTGTGAAGCAGGTAAACCATTATTAACCCAGCTCTGTGGTGCTTAGTGTTGGGTTTCCATACTTTCCATTACACATTTCCTACCAAGTATGGAAATACAGGACAGTGTACAGGAAATCTTTTTACCACCCTTCAATTTTTATTCCCCTTCCCTGAAACAGTTGATGCTTGCTGGTCTACAAGTCCCCAGGCACTAGCCATCCCCAAGCATCTTAGATCTGAAGTTCTGCCCAATTATGAGCTTTGAGATCATCTTGTCTTGAAATTTAAGATCAGGGTGAATTGTGGAAAATTCTTAAATTTAGTCTTAAATTTGGAAGTTTCTGTTCACTGCAGTAACACCAGCTTCCAAATTAAGCTTGAATTTAAGGATTAAGGATTTTTCAGCGGGGGGGGGGAGGTCATTGGATAGTGATCATGAGTCTATCTTGTTCTGCTTCCTAAACCTTCTCAGCTTTGCATTTGACACTAAAGCCTGTCTTTCAGCACTAGGAACATCGCTGCAAAAAGAACATTTAAGACTACAGACTACCTGACTTCCTCTAAGACTGTTGATAGGGATTTGGTGTTCTGGGGGCTGTTTCTAATCTCGGATTCTTTCCTGGAGGTCGCAGGGCCCCTCTCTTGTACCCCCTCTATGCTTGGCGGCCATTCGATGGCATTGACCATATCGGTGATCATCACTTCCAGATCCGACACAATGGCAACCACATACTCGAACATCTGGTATAGGCTTTGGTTGCTGCTGTGCAAGTGCAAAGAGCCAGTCTTCTCTGTTAGGCTTGTCTTCCTCAGCCTCTTGGTCAAATCTGGTTTGATCTTCTTGTACTTCTTTGTGGTGTCCTCTCTGATTTGCCTGCAGAGCTGTTGCAGTTTAATCTGTTGAGAGGGAGGGAGGGATGAATGGAGGGGAAAAACACAGAATGTAATGAAATACAGGTACTTTATCGAACACACTCATTTTAAAGAAAGGTTTCTTTGGGTCTACAACTCATTGCTTTTTATAGCTCGAGGCCCCCAAATTCAATCTAGTCTTAGTTTTAGTCTTTCTTCATCTTAAAATTTAAGATCGGCAGAATTGTGGAAAATTCTTAAATTCGGTCTTAACTTGTAAGCCATTTTTCCCCATAAAAGAAATCGGCTTCCAAACCGAAACTGTATTTAAGAATTTTCCACAATACTGTGCAATATTAAAAAATATTTAAGATGAAATGGTTCTTACTTATTTTCTTATTCAAGGATAACTGGGTGGAATTGTAGTAATCTCGCAGAAGTTTGGATTTAATAAAATCTGTACAAGACGAACTGCATCAAATAAGCTATCGATGGGATATGCATTCATGGAACAGAATGCAGTTATTCTCAGGGTCTTCATACCTCTAGGAGTGAAGAGTTTTCCCTCACAGCTGCTGCTTTGCGTTGTAGGCTGTCTACCGATGTGTCAACCTCCTCGTAATCAAACTGAGAAACAATGATAAACTAGGTCAGAATGTTACTGAATGTTCACAAGGCCATTATCAATTCCAAAAGAGACTGAGAAGTTCGAAGAACCATCTACTTTGTCTGCCCCTCCATCTTTAGTAGATCGCTATGTTTACATTCTACTGTTTTGCCCGCAAAATATTCTGTGAAGCGCTTCAAGACATCTCAATGACGTGATATGGCGCTATATCAAATGCAAGGATTATTATTATTAATGTTTTGAGGACCGAAATTCTTCGTCTATAAAACCACTATATTTCGAATTTAATTGTGGAAAGTTATTACATTTAGTCTTACATTAGAATACCAGTTCATTTTTTTTAAAAACAATAAAAATGCTCCCAAGACTGAATTCAAGAATTTACCACTAAACTTAATATTTTAAAACAAAATAGTCTTAAAGGCAAAGACTGAGTGGAATCTTCAGGCCTCAGGAAGCAAAATATAGACATTTCTATAACAGATTTATCCTAAAATCTGAACCACATGCACTGTGGGACACTACACTACACTGCGTGAAGGGCGCTATATAAATGCAATTTGTTGTTATATATCCAACTCTCTGCTTACCTCTTGATGTTTCGATCTGGTGGAGTCCATAATATTTTTAATGGAAACATCAGCGCAGCCGTAAGTTCGTTTCAACCCAATCCACATCAAATCAACAGGTTCGAAGAACGAACTAACAGTGTAGTTGTTCAGCCTATCAAAAATATTACACTAGTACCTCAAACAAACCACAATTATGTTCCATAGATTTCAGCTTTCCTATTCCCATACAATACCCCTCTAGTTCTCAACCAGTGACATGTACTAAAGGCTCCACTGTGGATAAATAATAATAATATCCTTGCATTTGATATAGCGCTTTTCATGTCTTCGAGATGTCTCAAAGCGCTTCATAAAATATACTGTAAAGTGAATTGACTGTATATTTGTGGGCGAAACGAGTGTCGCACAAACAGTGTGGATTGGTGACCAATTTTTTTTTAAGGATTATAATCAGACGTGTGGAGTAAGGTTTCACCCTCCCGGGAATCAAACCCAGATCTCTCGCTTGCTACAGGACTCCCAAGATCAGTTACAGAGGAAGGAAATTGAAGGGGCAGAATTTTCTCCTGAACAGTAGTACTGCCTTGCTTTCTTTCAGATAACATGGAGAAAAACGTGATGTTTCAGAGCCAATCTGAAAAAGCATTTGTTAACACTGCAGGAGCCTATGAGTGGGAGACTTGGAAATTTGAGAATATGTCACTTGATCTGATAACAATAGAGAATAGACAAAAAAAGTTCACTGGCCATCAAACCCACTTGCTGAAGTCACAAATTCTCCAGTCATGGAGAATGCTCAAGACTATTATTTCACAAACGAACTGGTAAGAGTTGGACTTTCAGCTAAAAATACTTTGCAGACTTTCCCTTTCCGTCAAGATTGTCTACCAGTACTGGGGGAGACAGTAACTGATATTATTGTTCTGTAAATGTTTTATTTCATTTTCCCTGAAAAAGGTCGATTACCAGTTTATAACAGCCAGAGCTTCCTCGGAGTCTACTTCTGATAGTTCTTGAGTCTCTGTTGAGTCGTCACTGCCATCTTCATCCCTGTCAAATTCCACAGACTGCCAGATGGTTTTCACACCCATATCCACTTTGTTTGAAAATAAACTCATAATAAGCAACAAAAAAAAACCCCAACTATTTTGTAGGGGTTGAAAAGGAAAGTAAGTCACTTTAATTTACATGTGTGACCGAAATACGCGCGCAATTTGAATAAAAAAATTGCCGGTAGCTTTTAGCAGTGCGTTTTGGTTATCGCTCCCCTGTCCATTCCTCGCTTAGAAGAGCAACGTGATTTATGTTGTCGGCGAAGGGCTGTTGCTAGAACACCGGCTCATTCAGTTGTGATGTCGCGCTTTGTCGTATCATAGACTGATTTATCAGAGTTCCAGAGAGAGTCTTTCCACAACGTTTAGCTTTCCAGAAAATAAAACGACTCCCTTATCAGCAGGAAAATGAGAGAGAGAAACTCGCCCCCCCCAGCCTCACTTCCTAACACACTCCAGTCTCAGTCACTCACTCCAGCCTACCTCCCTTGCGCCTCAGTCACCACACTCCACCCTCCCTCCAGCCTCACTCGCTCATTCACTCCAACCTGCCTCACTTATTGACTCACTTTCTCTTGCCTCATTCACCAGTCAGAGACAGTCTTCCCTCCCTCCCTCAATCAGATTCCATTCAGCAATTCACTCCAACCTCCTTCCCTCACTCAAACCCCACACACCACTCTACCCTCCTTCCCTGCCCCCTCACTCATTCACTTCTTTCTTCACTCACTACAACCTCGCTCACTTATTCACTCATTCCAGCCTTTCTCACTCACACCCACCAGCCTCATTCACCACTCAACCCTCTCTTACTCCAGCCTCACTCACCAGCCTCACTCCTTCAAGCCTCATTCACCACTCTAACTACTTTCCCTCACTCCAACCTCACATTCACTCCAGCCTCCCTCCCTCACTCCAGCCTCATTCACCACTCAACCCTAACTTCAGCCTCACATTTACTCCAGCCTCATTCACTCCCTCCACCCTCACCCGCCTGCTCCCTCCAGCCTCACTCATTCCCTCCAGCCTCACTCACTCGTCTCACTCCCTCCAGTCTCACTCGACACTCCCTCCAGCCTCTCACTCACTCTAGCCTCACTCACTCTAACCTCATTCGTTTCCTCCAGCCTCACTCACTCCAGCATCACTCGCTCCCTTCCCTCTCCCTCCCTCCCCTCACTCCAGCCTCACTCCCTCCCTTCCCTCCAGCTTCTCACTCCCTCCCTCCAGCCTCATTCACTCACTCCAGCCTCTCTGACTCACTCCAGCATCACTCCCTCCCTTCCCTCCCCTCTCACTCCTTCCCTCCAGCTTCTCTCACTCACTCCCTCCCTCCAGCTTCTCACCCTCCCTCCCTCCAGCCTCACTCCCTCCCTCCAGCTTCTCTCACTCCTTCCCTCCAGCCTCTCTCCCTCCCTCCCAGTCTCTAGGACTCCCTCCCCTCTCACTCCCTCCCTCCGGCCTCAATCACCTCAGCCTCCCTCCCCCTCCCTCCCTCCAGCCTCTCTCCCTCCCTCCTCCAGCCTCTCTCCCTCCCTCCCTCCAGCCTCTCTCCCTCCCTCCCTCCAGCCTCTCTCCCGCCCTCCCAGTCTCTAGGACTCCCTCCCCTCTCACTCCCTCCCTCCGGCCTCAATCACCTCAGCCTCCCTCCCCCTCCCTCCCTCCTCTCCGGCCTCCTGGCTGCCGGGCGCATGCGCGGTGCCGGGTGGCGGTTGGTCGCGAGGCTGAGAGCGAGGCAGGGCGCCCCGCGGGCTGGCGCCGGGCTCGCGTCTGAGCCGAGGAGAGGCACTTGTTTGCCGTCATGTCGCGCGGGGCGAGCGCGGGCGGCGGCTACGGCAGCAGCAGCAGCGGCACCGCCACCACCTCCTCCTCCACCTCCTCCTCCTCCTCCTTCTCCCCGAGCCGAGCCCGGGCCGCAAACTTCCCGCCGCGGGGGCGCAGGCCAACGGCAGTTTGGAGGCGGGCGGCGGGAAGCTGCGGAGTCGCGGCGCCGCCGCCGCCGCCGAGTGGGAGGACCGGGCCCCCCGGAGAAGCAGCAGCGGCCGAGGCGGCAGCGGCAGGCGGGAGGAGCAGGCCGCCGCCGCCGGCAGCGCCGAGTGTCAGGTGTTCGACGACGGCACCGTCACCTTCTTCTGGTGAGTGGCCGGAGGTGGGGGAGAGGGGGCAAACCGGGGGATAATATATACAATATATATACGCACTTTTATCACATCATCGACGTCTCCAAGCGCTTCACCGGATATTACTGTTAAAAGTGGAGTGACCCTATATGTTTGTGGGGGAGGGGGAGGGAGTGGGGGTTGGACGGACGGGGGGGAGCAGAGGTGGTAGGGGGAGTGAAGCTGGTCAGGGGTATGAAGTGGGGGGGTGAAGCTGAGGGGGGTGGGGGGTGAAGCTGGCCAGGGGGAGCTGAGGGGGGTGAAGCTGGCCAGGGGGAGCTGAGGGGGGTGAAGCTGGCCAGGGGGAGCTGAGGGGGGTGAAGCTGGCCAGGGGAGCTGAGGGGGGGTGAAGCTGGCCAGGGGGAGCTGAGGGGGTGGGGGGTGAAGCTGGCCAGGGGGAGCTGAGGGGGTGGGGGGTGAAGCTGGTCAGGGGTATGAAGGGGGGGGGTGGGGGGTGAAGCTGGCCAGGGTTTGAAGGGGGATGAAGCTGGCCAGGGGGAGCTGAGGGGTGGGGGGTGAAGCTGGCCAGGGTTTGAAGGGGGATGAAGCTGGCCAGGGGGAGCTGAGGGGGTGGGGGGTGAAGCTGGCCAGGGGTTTGAAGGGGGGGGGGTGAAGCTGGCCAGGGGGAGCTGAGGGGGTGGGGGTGAAGCTGGTCAGGGGGAGCTGAGGGGGTGGGGGGTGAAGCTGGTCAGGGGGAGCTGAGGGGGGTGGGGGGTGAAGCTGGTCAGGGGGAGCTGAGGGGGGGTGGGGGGTGAAGCTGGTCAGGGGAGCTGAGGGGGGTGGGGGGTGAAGCTGGTCAGGGGGAGCTGAGGGGGGTGGGGGGTGAAGCTGGCCAGGGGGAGCTGAGGGGGTGGGGGGTGAAGCTGGTCAGGGGGAGCTGAGGGGGGTGAAATTGGTTAGGTATGGGGGAGATGAGGTTGGCCAGGGGGAGCAGATGGAAGAGGGGACAGGGTGAGTGGGGGGGTGAAGCTGGTCAGGGGTGTGGGGGCGGTGAGCCTGCCTGGGGTGGGGGGTGCAACGGACAAGAGACTGGCCAAGGGAGGGAGATGGCTATGAAGCAGAGGGCGGGTGGGGGTAAGGCTGTCATGATGTCAACAACAAGTTGCATTTGTATAGCACTTTTCACGTCAGAAAGACGCTTGCACCTGATCTGGGGATTGGAATCTGGAGGGCTGGAGGGCAAGGTGGGGTGGGGGGTGTCTTGATATCCTTCTTGAATACAGTAAATGCAACAGGTTTTTTAAGGATGAGTTTCATTGTAAGTAGAATTATAGCATTTCCATTTCCTCTCACAAATAACTGGTTACATTGTAATCTGCTTTCTGAAATACACTTTAGATTCCAGGATTGAGTGTACTGTTTGTGTACCTTATAGTATATTACATCAGTTCCTCCAAACTTAAGGGAAAAGGGGTTTTCATTCCTTTATTTCAGTGGCTTTGGGCACAGGACACAGCAAAGAAAATTCTGAAATGTTAAATGTTTGGTTTAATGTGAATTATTCTAGGATCTACCTGGAAAGTGCTGGGCAAAAGTCACCTTGGCTTATTCTAAAGCTGGTTTGAGCTCTTTAAATGTTAGTTATTAAAATGCTGATGTAGAAATCTCATTAAAGCTGCCATGGCCCATAATTATGTTCTCGGTAGGGAACAGGTAAAGTAGCTTACCAATGGGGAGGTTGAATTTAGGTTCCAAACATTATTAATTTTAAACATATGTTTCACCAAAAGACAGAGTGAAATGGAAAAATAAAAAAGTGGATTTGTGCGGTAAAGGTCCTCATTGCTCATCATCCTGATTGACAGGCCTCGAGTGGAGAACAATTCCATAAATGTGTGCACATTTCTGGTTATAAATCTTTGTTTATAAAAAATCAAATTTGTGAACCTAATCATCTTAGGAACAGGTAAGCTGCTTTACCTTTGCCCTGTGGTTTTATCTCTTAAAGTGTGTTGTTTTTGAGCAGTTTATGGATCATGTAAGTTATTCTATTTCTAGTTTGCTCACTGTGCTAACGTTGCACTTGAATTGCAGTGAAATCTCCTATTTGTACCATTGTTGATCCATGGAATGATTTTCAACCAGTGCAAAGAAAAAATGCCCCCCAGAATTGTTTTTACCATTAAAGATTGTAAAGGAACATATATTATAAGTTTGGATTGAAGGTGACCAGATACATAGGGATTTAAAATGAGTTTTGTACAACAATTGAAGATTGTTTTTGTTGAAAATGATGAGGACTGGATAAAAGCTCTCTTACGTTGTTCACTCAAAAGTCTGGAACAGATTGAGTGACTAAGGTGGTTTTGTTACTGTACTCTAAGTACATAAAGTAAAATTTTATAGTTAACTTAAGATAAAGTATTTCTTATTTGGTAGATTATTTGTGTGAAAATGCCTGACAACAAAACTGATTAAAAGATATAGTTGTGTGTCTTTGTAATGCTCTCAAAGTTTCTAATTTGTTCGTTTTATGTTTTCCAGTAGCTACTCTGTTGTATATTGTGGTTGTATTCAAGTTAAATTATATGAATTTAATTCATGAAAGAAACCCCTTAAAATTGTTAAAAATCGAAGTGCTACCAGAAAGTTGAAAGCTAAACTCACTTCTGTTTTGTGACTATTATTTTCAGCATGGCCCAATGGTAGCTCTCTCGTCTCTGAATCAGAAGGTAGTGGTTTCAAGCCCCATATTGGGACTTGGAATCACATAGTCCAAGCTGACTCTTTAGTGCAGTACTGGGGATGTATTTCATTGTTGGCGGTGCATCCTTTGGATGAGACATTACACCGAGGTCCCATCTGCTCTTTTCAAGTAGATGCCATGCCACTTTCGAAAAGAAAATGGAGTTTCTAGCTCGTGTCCTGGGCAGGACACCGGGAGAAACTCCTTTCTGTATTTGGGTTGCTGGTTTTCTCTTTTTTATTTCAGATTTATTTTCAAATGTTTTGACATTGTAGGCACGTTTTTTCAAATGCAAGGATTAATATAATTATTTATCTAATTGAAGCATTCAGGTGATTATAAATCATTTAAACTTCAATAGTGTGATTTATAACAACACTTTGGTTAGATTACTTGTTATCGCTTCCAGGTATTCATTGTTTAAAATAATCTATAAACCAAAGTACATATTGAACCAGAACCGTTTGCAAACAAATACACAGCCATTTTTATTGCCTTTAATTTTTTTTATTGACCCAACCAACAAAAGCAAAAATAAATCTGTTTTAATTTCCTTTTATCATGACATTTGTGATAGTAGCTTTTAATAGTGATTTGAATCAAGTAAAATTAATTGTGCTGTCATTTTTAAGAATTTCTAAAAATCATAGTCAGGTTCTTTTTACTTTAAAAGTGCTTGTTTGACTAATTGAATCATGATTTTTTGGGGGATGAAGCCCCGGATAAATGAAAGTGAAGAGGGATGTTATTGGATTCATTGTGAATGGGATAACACTTGATCAATCTGCCCAGTAGCTTGTGCAGCTGATTACAAGACAGCTTGTCAGAAAGCCCATGGAACTGATTAATACATTACGATTGATTCCAAATCAACAGTAGTAAGAACATATAAAAACTTCCAAGTGTCACTGAGAAGCAGATTAGACTTATCAACCATCAGACCTTGGGTTACTGCATGTTGCTTTGTTTTTCCAGGTTTTTGTCCTTGAGGTCTGTTCACCCTCAGGGAGAAACTGCTCATCTTTCTTGTCCTCCTCTCCCTCTCCAGATTCCCTAAAGCACTTTTTTTTATCGTGTGAGAATCGTGTCCAAAGAGTTAACTTAAAAGTTCTGCTTCACATGCTAATTGACCTGTGGATTTCCAGCATTGTATTACTGATAACAATAGGACTGGTTACCAAGCCTGTGCTATTGAAATGAGCGTGACACCAAGCTTCATTCAACTGTGTAATCACTTGTCTTCTGTTCACCTACCCCAGTATTTCAATCCACTTAAATTCATTAAGCATTTATGACGAACCCAGAATTTTATTTTAATGCTGGTTATTTAAAGAGTTCAGATACATGTGCTTTACAAACCTATGTCAGTACAATACACTACAAAATTACATTTGTATAGCGCCTTTCACATTGGGAGGATGTCCCAAGGCACTTAGAGAATGCAGAGAAACCTAGAATCTTCTGACCTGATCATGCAAATAATGTTGTACCAAAATTGTAAGATCTATAATGGGTGCTAACACGCTAGCTGACTTCATCTGAATATACTGACTACAAGCATACACTTCACACATTCTGCTTTAGAGTGATCTTCAGGTTAGTGATATCCAGAGGCAAATAGTACAGCATTTGCTTCTGAATGTCTTGAAATGCCTAGTTGTGTACTGTCTTGTCCATGTTTTGTGCTGGAGATTCATGAAAATGTCTCGATAGATGTTACTTTGTAGTTTTATTGGGGCAGCATCAGTAAGTAATTTAAGCAGATGAGGTTATTATAACCAAGATTCAAGTGATGAGCTGTTGCCAATTAAAGTTTTCTGAGCTTTTTTGGCAGAATGTGGTCATGTCTGTGTGCTGTGTTCCACTGTCCAACGCCCACAAACATATTGAGTAATACCTGTCAACAATAATGCCAGATTATGATTCTAAGGTGGGCGGGTGGCAGATTGACAGATTGCTGTTCACTGCAGGAGTTTTGGTAAATCTGGAGGTTGTGCTTTCCACGCATTTTACTGGTTTACCATCACTGCGTAGATTAGGTCTATAGTTTCAAAAGTGGTCAGACATCTGTTTCTTGCTAGATTGAGCCAGTGCTCTGTGTTTTCGCACACATATGAAGTGCATTCCTGTGTGTAACAAGATACAGTTCTTTGGATTTCTTGGAGGGAAACATGATAGAACTACTTCAGTTCAACTAAGGTTTAACTGCTGGCTCATTTAAACATTAGTTGAACTGAAGTAGTTCTGTTGCAAAGTTCAAGCCCTTTTAGATGAAGGAAGTATGTTGTAACGGGACAGTACATTGTGGTACTAATGCAGTTCTGAATAAACTGATATTCATAAATTCAGTGCCATAGCCAATTATGTAACATAATATTCTGGACATGAATAGAATAAAGCAAAGGTAATAGTGGTCCAGAGACTCTTACTAATGCAGTAATGCTATTGAGAAATTGCAGAATATTCTGTGATCTAATAAGTTAGTGGTAACACTTACATGCATATTTATGCGTATAAATTTCTTCAGTGCCTTCCATCGTCTTTAAAAACAAAGTGTAGAGCAATGAACAGAGAGGTTTTGTTGAAATTGTATTATGTTTCAACATGAGGTTGCTTTATTTATCTTTGAGTTGGATAAATCATACTGCATTTCTTAGTTAAACAATGTACAATATTCCAATAAATGTTTTCAAGTTAAATATTGTAATAGATCCCAATAACATTATTTGTTCCAAATTCTGTAAGCAAATCCAAAGTTTGCTCAAGAGTTTGGAATAGTTTTCATATTATGCATAGAACCATATTTGTAACTAACATAATATAGCTAAATCTACAGTTTAATAATTTTTGTGTTTTTGCATTCTTCAATACACATGGCCAGAAAAAATGGTTACTGTATCATTTTAATCTTCAATTCAAAATAGTCAGAAGTGTTGCTTTCACATTTCATTCCTAGTTCTATTATACACTAGTTCCATTTGAGGGTGTTTTTCACAGCTTGCATGTGCTTTTTGTCTAGTTTCACATTGTTTAACAATACACTTGTTGTTCAATTCACTCTCGGGTGATTACGACTCAATGTCACAATTTTCTTACTAGTCATATTGGATTCAGTTCCATCACAATGTCAACATTAGTATGCTGCCGTAAGACGAAATGTACAGGGTGACCAAAAAGTTGTGATAACTACCCTATTACCTAAAAAAAACAAAAAGATAATTATTTTTATTAAACATTGTATGGTATCACGACTTTTTGGTCACCCTGTATTTTAAGAACTACTTGGGTGTGGGAAGAGGAGAGGGGTGGAGAAAATTGATTCCTTGTGTCCTGGGGTTAGGGTTATCACGCCAAAATGCCTCGAAGCGCTTCACAGTTAAGTGTTAAGTGTATTTAACAGTATATTTTTGAGCAAACACAGCAGCTAATTTGCACAAAGAAATGTTCCACAAACGGTCAGGAAGTTAACAATCAATTTAACTAATGAAATCTGGAGTTGCTACTTTGCCCAATTTTTATAGCAGAAAAACATTTGCTTAACTGTCTTGAGAAGCCACGAGTGAAAGTGCACAGTTTTATTGTTTATAATGAATTTGGTGGTAAGTGAGTTAAAGTCTCTTTGTTTGGAACAGAAGAGAAATTTAGTCCATCAAAAAAACTGGTTTAGAAATCTGTCACCATTGCAGTAGCTATGGCTAATATTTGTTATCGGTTGGATTGGGTTGTGCTCAGCCATGTAATTATTCATTATAGCGAACCTATAATTTTTCTTATTCTGTTTACAGGAGAGCTCACACATTGACAGTATTGTTCATCCTCACTTGTGCTCTTGGTTATGTTACTTTATTGGAAGAAACCCCTCAAGACACAGCCTATAACACAAAGAGGTAAGCAGAGGGATCTGGCAAAGAGCAAGTGAAATATTCCACTTTCAGAGCTGAGATCCATTGCCAAATTTAGTTTATTTTGTTTTTTTTCCTTTTTTCATTCTATTTTTAAATCCATAAGGAGTAGTTGCTGTGACAGTCTAAGATCTAACAAAAAGGAGATGTCCTTGTAATAGTTGTACTGTGGTCATATTGATCTAAAAATCCTACATCTGAAAATTCCATCCAATTTCAGGCAAATTGACTAATTTCCCACCACTCTATCATCTTGCTAGTTGCCTTAATAACTGAGATGAAAGATTCGGAAAAATTGCTGGAGTTTGGAAGGATGACTGTTTGTGGTGCTTGGTTGGCAGAACTCTCCCATCATTAAAGCGGTTCCAGGAGGCTTTGATATCTCGGACCTAACTACAAACACAATGTAAAATAAGCACTTTGAGACGTCCTCCTGACATGAAGGGCTCTATAGCAGTGTAAATTGTATGTGATGTAAAATGTTAGCAACATGGCCACCTGTGTTTATGAATTGAAGGAACCTTTTGCTGCAAAAGGAAAGTTGGAACAGAATAAAGGATACATATTCTGTGCAAACAGATTTGGATCTTGTTTTGCATCCAAGCAAGAAATAGTGACCAGACTTTTAAATCAGTACACACAATCCTATGTGTACCAAGGTATTGTATATTATTTGAACAATGAGAGTCAGTGGTGGCATTTCACAATTTTGCTGTTTGTAGTTTGTATTAAGATCCCTATGTAAGCAATGGGTTAGGTAAAATGCTGACAATTAATCATTGTGAAGGAGTTTGACACAGGGAAAACTTGGTATAATTCAAAGCTGCCTAGAAGTTTCACTCGTGAAAGGTAGAATGACAATGTTGGCCTGAATTTATCCAACATTTTGAAGTAACAATAATAATAATAATCCTTGCAATTGATACAGCGGCTTTCCCAGTTTCTTGACGTCTCAAAGCGCTTCACAGAATTTACTGTAAAGTGAATTGACTGTTTATTTGTGGGCGACTGCAGCCAATTGCACACAGCAGTGTCCCACAAAGCAGTCGTGAATTGAGTGACCAAATTGTTATGCTTTTTTTCTTGAGAGATTATCAGGCATGTAGAGTAAGGAAACTTGCCCAAGGTTTCACCCTGCCGGGAATCAAACCAGGTCTCTCGCTTGCAAGGCTAGTGCTCTAACCACTGAGCTACAGGACTCTACGGTTTTACACTTTCAAGGTCTTACAGAAGACCTTGAAAAAAAAATTCTGAACTATTTTGGTGCAGGCTGTAATCAGCACCTCTTTGGACAAAAGGCTGTAAGCATTTCTCATTGTACGCCTCTTTGTTTTTCAGAGGGATTGTCGCCAGCATTCTTGTGTTTTTGTGTTTTGGAGTCACTCAAGCAAAGGACGGGCCGTTTTCCAGACCTCACCCAGGTACAATACTGACAGCTTTATAGTACCAGTTCTCTCACAATTTTTGGATAACATGTTACATAGAACATTACAGTATAGTGCCAGGTCATAGTGACGCCCTCCAAAATATACAATCAATTCACTTTACAGTATATTCTGTGAAGCGCTGTGAGGTGTCTCAAAGACGTGATAAGGCGTGATATCAAATGTATGGATTATAATAATTATATTCGGTTCAACTAACTTACCTATGAAATATACACTCATTGAACTTTACAATAAATCTGTGAAATGCTTTGTGACAGCCTTCCGATGTGAAAAACGCTATATGAAATGCAAGTGTTATATCTTATGAATAATAATTTTTAAAATGTGGGGATGGAAAAAGTGTGGAGATTTTCATTGCTGTGTGTTTGCTTCTGTTGATTCCTTTGTGTGCGTGTGTGTGTGTTGAGCTGTGAGGGAGAGGGTGGGTAATTTGGTGGCTTGGCCATGAATATAGTAGTTTATTTTTTGATTTTTAAAAAAGTGTTAAAACTGCAAATTTTCTTTCCCAGCATACTGGAGATTCTGGTTATGTGTCAGTGTCGTGTATGAACTGTTCCTCATTTTCATACTTTTTCAGGTAAGAGATGAATCCTTCTCGCTTATTTTATTATTCATAATGAGGATTATTATTTATTTGTATTCGAACACAACAGGAAGCTGCTTCCGATTCCACATACTTTTGCGGTAGCTGCGTACGTGTCCAGTCTTTCTCCCTCTTAACTATTTCCAGGTGTCTCAGCGTTTTGAACAGTCTGGATGGAGGTTAAAATCCTGAAAGTTAATTTGTAATTTTTTATACCAACAAACCAAATTTATGTCGGAGAAAATTGCATCCTGATACCCATGAACTAAACCCATCGATTTGCAATCTTTAATCGCTTTGATAGGATGAACATTTTCTAATGTGCAAGAGATACTGGTGTTTCAAAATAAGTACTTGTAATGACAGATTAACCTTGTGCTGAAAATAAATTAGTCTGCTGTCAGTTACTAGGAATTCACTGTTCAGCTGAGTGTACATAATTCGGAGATTTGAGCTACTAATTACCTGCGTCAATAGAAAAGTGCAGCCGCACTGCAAACAGCGTCCTCAGCTACAATCCCACTACAAATGTAGTTTCAGTCCAGCAGGCCTCTGTACACACGCGTGTTCTCTCCTGTACCAGACTCCCTGACCTTATCACCCCCATCTTTGCCCAACTCCACTGGCTTCCCATCACACAGTTCGAGATTCTGATCCTCACCTTCAAAGCCCTCCCAAGGCCTTGCTCCCCCCTACCTCTGCGACCTCCTAACCCCCTACCAACCTCCGCTCACCGGGCTCCTGCCTGCTTCACGTCCCCCGCCTCGCCCACACACCACTGGAGGGTGGGCTTTCTGCCCCCCTTCCCCCAGCCTCTGAAACTCCCTCCCGCACTCCCCTCTGCCTCACCCCCTCCCTTGCCTCCTTCAGGACCCGTCTCAAGAGCCCCCTCTTCGACCGTTCCTCCAATTATGCTCCTTCCCCACCCCACCTGCCCTCCACACTCTCGGATCCTGACCCCCAGCTCGGGTCCGAAATACTTGATTGTCCAGCGCCTTGGGACATCCTCCCGCCGTGAAAGGTGCTATAAAAATTTTATTTTGTAGTTTATATTTGTGAGTGGCTCTATATTTGTGAGTGTCTGTGAGTGTGTCTCTCCTCTCTGTGCGTGTGTGTTTGTGAGTCTCTCTGTGAGGTTGATAGTAAAATGCACCAATCAACTCCCTGGAATTTTCTGCAAACCCCCCCCCCAAAAAAAAATCTCCCCGCAATTTTGGCAAATCTCTATATTTTTTAGGGAAATATTTTTGCATTTTTCTATTGGCCCAGCTAATTACCCAGCAGTAAGTAGGAACCTACTTGTTAGTCAATTGGTGGATCACTTTCCCGGAGTAATAATTCCACCAAAACAAGAATAATAATTTGGTCACTCAATCCACAACTGCTTGTGGGGGACACTGCTGTGCGCAATTGGTTGCCACGTTTTGCTCACAAAACACACAGTCATTACACTTTAAAGTATATTCTGTGAAGCGCACCCAATACAGCTAGTCTTAACAGTTTTTACAGCGCGGTTTCTCATTTGGTTGAGGATGATAAGCAAAGCCTATCTTAGAGGATATTTGAAGAAGCATCTGTGTTAAGCATCAGATTCATTCAATTGAAATTCTCATTCATGGCTATTATATTTTTGAAAATCCATACCATTGTAATGCTATTTAATTCAAACCTAAAAGTAGTAAAATACAGGCCCAAAGAAGTTTGTAATTTTATGGTTATGAATTTGCTAATCGTTAGTTGGCCTTGAATCAGGGCCAGATTAACCAAATCTAAAATGCTCCCAGATAGTGCATCGAATGAAGCCTGCCAAAATAGGGCTAGATGTGAGTGCGTTATTTTGCTCATTCTGATATCAAAGGCAGAAACCATTATTGTTATGATATCATGTGTATTATGATTCTGTGATGTTATAGTGTACATTGAACCTAGTGCAGCTCTGTAACAGCCACTAATACCCTCTTTCCCCTATCTATGATCCCGATAATTTCAAGGATTATGAGCATTTTATATGGGCTTGTGAACAGCAGCATATTTCGGAAGTAGGTTTTAGAAATTGAATAATCTCTGTGTCACTCTTTACGTTTGACTTTTCTTTTCACAGACTGTGCAGGATGGACGTCAGTTTATGAAGTTCATAGATCGAAAACTCGGTGTTCCTTTGCCAGAGAGAGGCTATGGTGGGAATTGCCTTATCTATGATCCAGAAAATAAGACTGATCCTTATCACAATATCTGGGTAAGACTCTGAAATGCATTCCTATATCAATTATTCTTTAACCTTCTGCACTCTTTCATTCCCCCTTCCCCAATAGCGAGTTAGTGGACTGAAACAGTTATATCAACTCATTATACCTTTTGCCCAAGATCACTATCGGAACCAAAACATTGCTTGAGGACCACTTGTAAATGTACCAATGTGTGGCATAAAAGGAATATTTTGCATTATAAAAATTATATTCCATATTTCAGTTACTAAAATACATTTGTTGCTTTGACACTTAGTTATTCATTGCATTTAGACATTTAATCTAACCTGTATAATTTGTCATTTGCCATAATTATACTGGATTTATGATGTTTAGCTTTTTTTGATGTTAGCTAAGATAAGGCATTCAGCAAAAAATTTATGTAGTTAATTATTTTAATTCCACTGTGAATATGAAATTGTGGAGCCTCAAACCTGTTAGTTTTCACTGCTCTTTATGAAGATATGCCATTTAGAGGGTTTCAAGAATAACTGGGTGTACAATACATGAAACCTTTACTTCCTCGGCAACGGTTAGGTTTTGAAAAATGCTAATTTTCAATAGAGGGATTTTCAAATGCTGATTTGTAGAAACTCACTCAATACTGTAGCTAAAACATAGCTTTTGGTTCATTCTTACTATATCTACTCAGTCCAGATCCTGTTCTGGACATTAAATAGTTTATGCTCTGAAGCATATTACATGTAAATGTGTGAAAAGGGAAGAAAGTGAAAAGATTTTGTTTTCTCCATTATTGCTGCTCCCCCCTAAAAAAATTATCTGATAAAAGCAAATTGAGTCCTTAACAGTTCATGCAAAGAGTTAAAATGAATTTTATTAAGAATGCGGCAAGTATTTAATGTAAAATAATAGAATAATATCTGTTTTGTTTTAGGACAAGTTGGATGGATTTGTGCCAGCACATTTTCTAGGCTGGTACCTAAAGGTAAAGACGAGAACTGGGTTAGCCTTATTGCTGCTGTTGATTAATTGACCTATGACAATGTTTAATTCTGCTTGTAAATCAGTGCTGCTCTGTCCTGGCCGGTAAGAGACTCTGCCAAGAACAGATCGGCGAGTGACTAGAATCCATCCACTCGAAATATCCACTCCTGTGTGGACTCTGCACTATAGGGCAATTAGACCTGTTTATGGAAGTTTGAGTGTTTCTGGTTCCTTAAATAAATGTTATGTAACTTTTTCAAAGGCCAATACAACTTGCGATTTTCACATAACCTTGTGCCACCGGTTCTCCTGGGGACAAACAGATGGGATTACTATAAGGGGCGTGGGAAGGTTAATTTACACAATAGCCAACGAAAGGACCAATATCTATATTGATTACTATGAATGCTTTATATAACTTAACCATGTATTTGGTGGAGAATAACTTAATGCTATGAACAGGGAGTACGACATTGAGAAGTAAATGAGACAAAGCATATGCAATTCCTGCTCGCATTTATCTACTACTGACGAAGTGCCCATTAAGCAAACACAATGATTCTCAGGAACTGTATGCATATGTGAAAGGTTTCTGATTGGATTCAAGTGTTTTGATACTTTTTAATATGAAAAATTAAAAAGTAAGCAAGCTACTGTAAAATGACAGTCCATTTGAGTAATTCTGCAAGGAGAGAGAAGTGGAGGGAGCTACTAAAAATGCATTTGAACAGTTTTAGTCCATTTGTGTCCACATTGTCATAAGACTTTTAGTGTGCTGAACCATGATCTCGGATCATTATTGCCAATGCACCACCATCTCTCTATCCTTTTCCTCGGATGCTCTTGGTACCATTTCCTGCCTTCCTCCCAGCATGTGAGGTTGGAATGGGGTGGTTGCCTTACACATTTATTTCATGGATTAGCCACTTTCATAAAATTATTCTGAAACTTCTTTATTTTCTTCCTTTTGTTCTTTTCTGACTAGACACTGATGATTCGAGACTGGTGGATGTGTATGATAATCAGTGTGATGTTTGAGTTCCTGGAATATAGTCTGGAGCATCAACTGCCGAACTTCAGTGAATGCTGGTGGGACCATGTATGTACCTGATTTTCTCTTATGCAAGAGATATCTTGAAATATTTATAATTTTAAGTGTACTTATCACGCTGAAATCATTACCCAACAAATCATACTTTAATAAAACTATTTAAAACAAAATCATTGCTATATGAATCTGAACAGTGAAAAGCCAATTAGTTATAATGATGAAGAAATGTGGCAGAACCCTGTTGGTCCTCGAGCTGAGCTCTTTATAAGGTTTGCTTTGCACTAGTCGTTGGTTCTTTGTAGCCTGAATAACAGTAATCATTTTCATACACAGGCCATTCATTCAAATTAAAACTTTATCAAATAATGTAAGTGGCTACTAGTTCATTGCTAGTTCTTTTTTCTGTTGTACTTGTTCACTATTTTGTCCTTGATAAGGATTACGGAGCATTAATGCTGGGAAATGGAACACATTTCTATTTTTGGTATAATGGAAGACATTTTCATCTTGGTACCTGATGTCTACTCTAACACAAAGTGACTTAACCTCCAACAAAATGGTGTTTCCTTTTCTCACAACAGCCTTCCTTTTGACCTCTTTGAGTGAGACTGTATTTGATTTGAATTATGAGCAGTTTTGTGCTGCGCACTGAAGCCCATTAGGAACTAGGTCAGTGCAGCTCAAATTCATTTCATTTCGAATCTCAAAAGCTGACATAGAAGGCATGTAACATTTCGAAGAGGGACATGATGTGCATGACTTTCATACTGCAAGGCTGGCCTATATTTTGATTCTATTTCTCTGAAGTGGGGGGAAAAAAGTGTTCTAGTCTACTGCACAAATGTATTTGTAATATTCAGCCTGTAGTTTAGCTAGTTGACTGTCATTTTTTACTCTGGCAGATGTGACGAGTTAACAGTGTGACAGGCATGTGACATCCAGAAGAGACGATGTGCATGGCTAAATGGAAATCGAGCTTGATATGTGTTCCTATCTCCAGATTAAACATCCTGCATGAAAATTGATATGCTTTGCCAGTCTTCCCTATATGATTGACAGTGCACTGCTAGATATTTTATAGTATTCCAGCCTCAGCGATGTACTCAAATCAGAATATTTGTTAATAAAAATAACAAAACCTGTGCAACTTATTGTCAGGATGAAGAGGTGCACAAGAAGCTGATATATTTTACCCAACTTTTTTCACTTCCGGTCATTTTTCTAATGACTGTAGTATTTTTCTTGCTGGACTGATCCGCTCTGCTGGCTTTGATTTTTCACCACTTTGTAAAGATTTTAGAAATATTTTACTCAATTGGATTTCAGTTTAAAATTTATAAGGAATGTTTTTTTTAGCAAATGGTGTTGTTAGAGATCTCCAATTTTGGAAAATGAGACACAGTACAGTATTGTATCGCTTCCTTTCTCTTCCCTTCCCTGTCTCCTACTATAAAAGCTGTGTGATGTTAGTCATCTGCTTTTCTTTCTAGTGGATAATGGATGTGATTCTGTGCAATGGATTTGGAATCTACTGTGCAATGAAGACACTGGAATGGCTTTCAATGAAGCCATATCACTGGCAAGGACTCTGGAATATTCCCACTTACAAGTAAGTTAACTTAGTTCTAAGGCAGGAGTCAATTCTGAGGAAACATGTTTTAATCATTGCACTGGTTGTAGAATAAAGGTTGATAACAAAGTCTGTAGAAAGAGCAAGTGGATATCAGAATTTAGTTAGTGGTGTTGCAATTCATTTACTGAGCATGGTGGGATGCTGGCACAGGGACTATTTGAGTTCAATTGACTTATTTATTTCCAGAGGCAAAATCAAGCGGATTGCTTTCCAGTTTACACCATACAGCTGGGTTAAGTTTGAATGGAAGCCAGCTTCGAATCTCCGCAGGTGGCTGGCAGTTTGTGGAATTATTTTCATGGTAAGGATCTGCTATGATATGTTTACCTGATGCATGATGTGTGGCAAAACAACAGCAGCATTTAGCAGTGTAATTCAGTAGTCAATGTTAGAATTTGGAGCTTTTTAAAATCTCTGCTCCCTGTTTTGCCCTTTAAATTATTTGCCATTTGCTTTTTTTGTTTTTGTTTTATGACTGCTGTACAGTGCAATCTGGTCCTCTAAGTTTTCTCCCCAGTTAATGAGGCATGACAGTCTCGATAAATTCCCCTAACACACTTTCCTCCAAACAAAAGGGACGCTTGTCAGGTTTCTTCTGTGAATATTATTAATGTTTCTCGATGTTTGGTTAGAATGTGTAGCTGGTAATGGATCTCTTTCCCCCCCACTCACACCGTTCCCAAGATCTCCCATTTTGTGGTATACTAAATAGTGATGATGTTTGAGCCGGGGTTTCTCATCTCTGTGTGGTCGGGGGACCTAATTTTGAGATCTTTCTTTTAGGATCAATTTCAGGTTGAGTGTCTAAAACAACATTCAAATTGGCTTTAGTAGTAATGCTAAACAACAGGTTACATTTTGTTCACAATCAGTAAAATATTGTACTTGTTATAGTGATGAATGCTCACTTATATAGTGATGAATGTAAAATTAAAGTTGCATTTTGTGCAGTAGTAAAGATTTTTATTTTAAATTTCATTGTACTTCTATCAATAGTGACTTTATTTACCTAGCAGTAAGTAGGAACCCGGTTGTTAGTCGATTGGTGGATTGCTTTTCCTGGGATAATAATCCCTTCAAAACAATAGATTAAAATTTTAGATAATTATAATTTGGTCACTCAATCCACAACTGTTTGTGGGACACTTCTGTGTGCAATTGGCTGCCGCCAATTTTTATAGTTTCACTCACAAAATACAGTCAATTCACTTTCCAGTATATTCTGTGAAGCGCTTTGAGAAGTCTCAAAGACGTGATGAGGGGCTATATCAAATGCAAGGATTATTATCATTTACAAATGTAATTGTTGAGTCTGGTTTTATTCAGAAGTGATATTTGTTTTTTTGCAGTTCTTACTTGCAGAACTGAATACCTTTTACTTGAAGTTTGTGCTCTGGATGCCACCTGAGCACTACTTGGTCTTACTGCGCCTCGTTTTCTTTGTACACGTGGGAGGCATAGCAATGAGAGAGATTTACGACTTTATGGATGATCTGTAAGTAAAAGCTTCAGCAAGAAAGACTGATCAAAGGACACCTGTTCTCTAAACGTCTGCAGTAATCTGAATTCTCTTTCATCCTGAGTATTCATTGCTTATTTCGTGCCATCAGTGTAGATTTTGAAGTTGCTGTAACTCTGAAACGTGGAAAATATTTGTTTAAATGCTTCAATTTTTTCATGTATGAATAGTTAAGAAAAATATAAGGGTTTGCCAGTCCATGTAATAAACCTTTCCTATTTCTTCCCTCTTATTCTGCTTAATATATAGCATTTTAATAGATTTACTTTAGCATACTGGTTAATGCTGTTACATCACGCTATTTGTCACATGAGGTAAAGTTTATCTAACTCCATTGTGTTTTAATGTGAAGAGTATTAAAATGTAATACAAAATTATATTTGTACAGCACCTTTCACGTCGAGAGGACATCCCAAGGCACTGGACAGTCAGGGATTTGGACTCAAGTAGGGGGTTGGGATCAGGAAGGGCGGAGGGCAGGGAGGGTGACCGAAGGCACGGTCAAAGAGGAGTCTTGAGACATGCCTTGAAGGAGGTGAGGGAGTGAGGTGAAGGAAATGTGGGATGGAGTTCCAAAGGGTGGGAGCAGAGAGGCTGAAGGCCCGACTGCCGATGGTATTAAATAGCAGATAATAAGAACTGTAATCAAACACTTTCTTTCTAAAATATAGCTTTCATAAGTCGTTTAACAGTAGATCTAATAGGTTGTCAAATCTAGAGCAGTTTTATGTACTATAGTTTGTATTTCAAATATAAGTCAAGCTATCCAAAGCTTCATGGGACAGGTTAATATAAAGATGAGGTAAACTGCCATTTAATTAAGTTGAAGCCAATGTGTAGCAAGATATCTTGCTATTTCCGCTTTTGGTAAACTAGCTGCTAATAGTTTTGAATTGAGTTGTTACCCTGGTATTTTTGTCATCTCTGTGCAGGAAATTCCATAAAAAGCTGGGCCAACAAGCCTGGTTGGTGGCTGCCATCACAGTGACAGAATTTCTAATCGTGGTGAAATATGACCCACATACGCTTACATTACCGTTGCCTTTTTACGTCACGCAGTGCTGGATCCTAGGATTCATGCTAATCCTGACTTGGACGATATGGCGTTTCTTCATACGGTAAGTACATTTGTGAATATGTATGGTTCTATTCTGTTTGACCGATGGCTGTTTTCACTGCCTTCTAAAGTTTACATAATTTCACATCTAAAACTATTGAGACACAGGCAGTAAGGATTTGCTATCCCTTATGTACCCACAATGGCCTTGAGCTTGAGGCACACTTCCACGTGCTTGAAAGATGACTATCTCATACGTGGATTGCTGATGAGTTTTTTAAGTCTGTCATACAATATGCAGTGTAATTTCTATTAATGTCTTTCATATCTCATGGAGATGGGATTCCATCACACTCTAATAACCAGAACTGCTTTTCCTTTCAAAATTGGTTTTGAAAGGAATGTTCCAAACTTATGCAGCCAACTGATGTCTCCAGGGGCACATGGGGCTCTTCTGTGGCTGAAGTGCATCTTTTTGAAGCAGAGCGCCCCTGACTTACAATCTGTGTTTGTGTAAATTTTGATTGTATGTTCTGAAAGTCTGCCAGTTTCTCTATCTAAAGTGCAGTGTGTGCATCCATGGATGTTGAATGCTGCTTTTTATTTGCTCAGAAGTACTCTATAGAAGCTTCTTTATGATATGCCTCAAATCAAATGTTATGGAACTGTAACAACATTTCCTCTTTCATACTGAGGGAAGAGACACCCAAAGCCACTAATTACAGAATACATTGCGCAGTTCTGAAAGAGTAAATTGTTGTTTTCGGTGGTATGTGTACAAAAGTGTTACAACATGAAAAATATTTCTAGGTGTTTGTGTATTGTCCTGACAGATGGCTTGCATGCTTTGGTAAGTAATCCTGACCTACAGGTATTGCTTGTGTGCCTCACAGGTATGTCAAGAATTCTCCATCCTAAAGCCAGGGAGTAATCTGGACGTTCACCTTCACTCTTAAGCTTGAGTCTGTATCCCCTTTTAGGAGAAGGGCATGAATGCATGGAGGTTCAAGAGTGGAAAGCCAAAGAGCTCAGATTGGCCCATGTTCTAAGTTTGACCACCATATACCTTACAGAAGCTGGTTTTGACCAAATAAAAATTGAAAGTGCTTAGTCATAGAGTTTCATATGAGTGTGGAGATAGGTTGGGAATGCTGCTGGACTGGATGAAGGTAAATGCCATTCAGATACCAAAGGGGAATCCAATACATCTAACTCAGCAAAAGTAATACGCTTTCAAATGTTAAAGTCTAGCACCAGTCCATTTGGGATGTTCATTTCCTAAGATGTATTTGGACAATCAACAAATGCAAAGATTATTAGCTTTGTAATTATGAGAATTTGAGATTTTTTGAAAAACGTGACTTCTGGTAGTTTGGGGAGATGATATGCTCCCAAGGCCATTGTTTTTATTAAGAAATGCTTTAAGATACTTGCAAAATTCTTGCCAAGTTGAGAACTTTCTGGACATCAGCACTGCAGAGGAGATATTTGGTATATTGTGGAAATGTGTTTGAATTAGTTATTGACTTTGAGGAGTTCTTGACCAAAACAATAAGACATAATTAAATAATGGTGCTTCAACTTCGAAACGGTGAATGTCTTCCTCCCATAACATTCTGAAATTATCCAGTTGGTTGACCAGTGCCATTCAGAGCAGAACAAGTAGATCTCAGATACAAGGGAAGCCGGGGGCATGCAAGAAAACTTGGAAGGTCAGTTCAGGAGTGGCTAAGAGGACTCGGTGCATGTCAGAGCAACAAGAGAAGCAGTGTGAGAAAGCAACTATAAAAGCTGAATACGTCATGATGGGAGAAAGTTGTAGGAACAGGAATAGTCTCCAGGTTAGAATGGTTTTGTGCACAAGAATAATGCATGTTAAAATGTTTCCTGATTGATGTGTAACTTGTTGCGGATAACCTGAAAATGAGGGTTATGTTTGGACTCTGCTCCTAATATAAATGACAAGACATGACTGATAAAATTATGCGAGAATTATTTTTTAAAAAGCAAAGTCTTCAGAGAAAGATATTTCAAGTAAATTTACTTGTGAAGGACGGAACTCCTTAACGAAGAGTCAGGCTGTTCCAACTCTTATTACAATGTTCCAGTATCACCAGCTTACACAATGAAATCCTGTTTAGCTCAATTTCAAGTTGAGAAGGAACAACTTTGCAGAGTGTCTCTTTCTGTTTGATGTTTGAATTACATTGTTGACAGTATATTTTGTGGGCGAAACATGCGTCTTTTCTGAGATCATAGGGTTTGGCAGCTTAGTTTCTTGAATAGTATATACTTTTAAAGAAATTGGTAAATGCACATATGTTGAAGTGTGCTTGTAACTTGGTGTGTGTATAGTAATCTGGTCATGCCATCTGCTTGTTATCGTGTGATGCAGTGAGCAAAATATAACCATCTAGACATTTCAGTAGATTTACAGTATATTTAGAAATTGACCCAGTCTTTTGAATTAATATTCTATGTGATATGTTTAGTTAGGTTGCTAACTATAGACTAAATAATAATTTGGTCACTTAATCCACAACTGTTTGCTGTCTGGTATAGGCTGCCTACAAAATATACAGTCAATTCACTTTACAGTATATTCTGTGAAGCGCTTTGAGACATTATGAGAAGAAGTGATAAGGCGCTATATAAGGATAATATTATAATGAACCTATATTGCAGACCAGTAAGTAAAATATAATCTTTAATAAAAAAATGCCTCATTTTGATTTATGTCCATTGCTACACTCCATTAAGACTTAAGGTGGAGTGGCTGTATTGTCTCTTTAGGAGGCACATAAGTAGCAAAGAGGCGATTTGTAACAGAGATCGGGTAAGGTAAATCAACAGGCAGGTTACCCTTGGCTGCTCTGCATGTCCATAAATTGCTGTTTACAGTAAAACATTGATGAAAATGGAGTAAAATGAAGATTATCTGCCTGTTGTTTGGGTAAACAATGAGATCGGGGTGGGTGGGGAGGAAGGATAAAAGAGTAAAAATAGGAAATACAGAATGTGCCTTTTATGTACACTATATGGCTACTGCCGGTTAAGAAACTCGATTGTTTTTTTTGACTGGATTAAAGCACAGTTCATTTGTATATATTATTTGTTGCCAAATGGTATTTGTTGAACCTGCGCTGTGATAGGAATGTAATCCACCTTGAACTTGTGATAGGAATGTAATCCACCTTGAACCTGTGATAGGAATGCCATCCGCCCGCGTCTGATATTCTTCAGCTTTAGCTTGAAATCTGATGTATAATGTAGTTGTTTTTTTCAAGTGTGTGTAGCCTGTTCAAGACAGATTTCTCCTGTGTGAAGTATGAAAGGGAAAAACATCACCAAGAACACATAATAATAATAATCCTTGCATTTGATAGAGCACCTTATCATGACTTCCAGACATCTCAGAGCGCTTCACAGTACATACTGTAAAGTGAATTCACTGTATATTGGTGGGTGAAACATGGCAACCAATTGCGCACAGCAAGTGTCCCATAAAACAGTCGTGGATTGAAGTGACCAATTTATTATTGTGTTTTCTTTTCTTGAGGGATTATTATCAGGCATGTGGAGTAAGGAAACTTGCCCATGGTTTCACCTTGCTGGGAATCAAACCCAGGTCTCTCGCTTGCGAGGCGAGTACTTTAACCACTACAGGACTCCACAATAAAATTGTATAAGACATTATCATATAAACCAATGGCCCAACTGCACTGGATAATGTAAACTGAGCACCATCTTACAGTATAATTTGAAAATGCATGGAAAGCTTACTTCTGAAAGTGTCGACCTCTACCACTATACTGGTTATTTGCAGCTTCATGTGCAAATGATGTATCAGAGTCAGCAACCCAACCTTTATTTGATTTGTTCCTTTTCCCCCCTGTTTTCAGTGGGAATGTGCACGTTCAGTGAGGTAGGTAGTGCTATCTTTTTTATTTCAACTTCTTTTTCTCTCACACTCCCCTCATTTTCTCACTTCCACGAAAAGGTCTTAAACTTGCACAGAAAGTTGTACAACTTTAATCATCTCACTCCTGTTTTGTGTGGTGCATGTTTGTGAATATAGGGAATGGGATCATTGGAGTGTTGTTTCCTTTCTCTTCCATGAATGCCATGTTCAGTCTTTGCTGCTAATACTCTGTTTTTAAATATGTATTATAATCAATTTTTATAATTCCTGACCAGTTGTTAAATGTTGCTTCCAGATTCCTTTCCCCATCAGTATTCTGCAGTTTATGGAGGCAGATTCCAAAACTCAGAAACTTATTACAAGTTCAGAGAATCAGTTGAGTTTTACAGACTTGATGCTCAGTGTGTCAGCTCATAGAATATATGATGTAAAATTGCTTTGTCTTGTCTGATTGTATGTGATACTCCAGAATTGAGGTAATGAACATCTCACACCTCAAAAGAGGATTATTCACGCATATCTGCAGATTGCAAGCCTTTCACAACCATCTCCTATCCTAGAATGTGTGGCGGTGAATTGCAGTTTGTGTGTGGGGGGTTTTAGACTGATGACTGTACAATATCTTCCCCATGTGACTCACATTTGGCAGTATTTGGGTATACAACAGCAAAATTATATTTGTAAAGTGCCTTTCATGTCGGGAGGACGCGCAAGGCACTGAACAGTCAGGGATCAGGACCCGAGAGTGGTGTCAACCTCTATCACTATACTGGTTATTGGTAGCGTTGTGTGTAAATTATGTTGTACTAGTCAGCAACCCAAGAAATGGTCCTGTATTAAATTCAGGAAGCTGTACCATTCACATTCCCCTGGGATTGTACAAGTCTGGACAGTATCATACCCTTTTTGGCTGTCTGATGTCTATACCTGATCATGTAAGTCATTAATTTTTTCAGCCAATTTGAGTTTTTACAATTTGCACCTCCTAAACCAGGGTATGTAAGCCTATTGTCTTATATTACTCTAGATCCGTGTGTATATGCTGGAGCTGTTTGCTCACTCCCCACTTTCCCAAGAGATCAAAGGGTTTGCTTGCACTGAGCTTCAGTTTTACTGCCTTTTTCATTGGGCACACACTTCTTGGAGCACTTGACTTAAAATCTTCCAAGTAGTATTTTAAAATAATTCAGGAATTCTATGAGATTTCCATCTCATTGGAATTTATCTCCATGGAGGGGATTGGGGGGATCGGGTAGTTCAAGAGAAGGATAGCCAAAGTCTTAACAGGTGAATAGAAAAAATCAACACAAGAGGCTGCTCATATCATTTTCGTGCATGTTTGTTGTTTCTTGCAACTTCAGATCCCTTCATGTCCATGTAGCATGTGCCTTTGTCACACCTGTTAAACATTGTTCTGAAGTGCTTTGTATTGTGACCTGTAATTTGGGTTGAGCGATATGGCCTTATGCTGCTGTGATGTGGACCGTTAGTGCAAATATTGTAATCCCATGGGACAACTCAGTCTTCTATCCAAGGAGCTTCTCTTCCTCAATTTAAAACAATCCATTTGCTTGTGATGTGGGTCTTGTCTCACCAGTGGGAAATCAAGATACCTTTTGTCAGGTACAATCTGAATTTCAATATGTACAATTGTGATTTTATTTGTATTGTGGTGAAATGAAAAGCATTGCCTAAATTCTGTACCTGCTTTTTGTTTTCATTCTGTTAGAAGTGTCCAAATGCCAAGTCTAAAGAGAAACAGTTGTGAAAAGAAACTACTGTATTGTAAAATGCGTGGTATTTGACTTGTAATTTGAACTCCCAGCCCTGAACAAAGTGACCTGTTTTTTGGTATTGCATAATGAAATATGAATTGGAGCCTTCGTTGTTATCAAATCTCACTGAAGGCGGAGGTCAAATTCTATCCGAGCTGCAATTTGATGTGTCCTTGTTCTTTATTGCATCTGGGATATTCTGCACGTTCAACTCTTTCCAAATAGCAGTAACTTTCTGTTGCAGTGACTGGCATTATGCGGATAGATGATTTTGCAGTGATTAAACTAATGTTTGGAGTCAGTTTTAAGCTAATACTGTCAGTATTGCAGGTGGGGATAGGGATGGGAAGAGGGATGTTAAGAGAAAATAATTTCTCAGGTAAAAAGGTCGTTAGTAGTACTCTTGTTGGTATTAACCTTCATCAGATGGTTCCCTACACAAGAGGATGGGATGGTTAAGTGAACTATGCGCATCACCTCTAACCTCCTCCTCCTCTTCCTCCAGTGTCTTTAACAGGGTGGTGGGAAGTGGGAAGCGTTGTAGGCCTTACTGTTATTGAGATGACATTTTACTGTAGCACTGCAAAAATTCCAGCAGCTTGACAAACCTCTAAGGGTTAATTATTGGCCAACCGTTGTCATTTGCGTTAATAAACATCTCTTCTGGTTAGCAGGCAAATTGCTTTGGTAATGGTGCTATCCAGGTTTCTCTGGCACAAATCTTTTTTTTTGTTTGTGTTTGTGATATTATTGATACCGTGAGGTTTTTTTTGCTGAGTTTATGCTGGTATTTGTTACTACTACCACTTCAGGATCAAGATCTAATACAGCATGTGTAGCCTCAACCACTTCCAACAAGATCCATCAAAATGGGTGACTTGATGCATCCCAGAGCTATATGACAATAAAGTTTCCCAAACATAAACCAAGGCACATACTATATTTTGAACTTGACCTACATAATTATTAATGATTTGAGGGAAAAATTATAATTATTATATTATAAATAATTATAATTAATAATTATAATTTGAGGGAAACTAAAGAATCAGAACTTGTATAACTATTCCAGTGTGACAGATATGCTAGCATTTAGGGTATGTCACAAATACTGACATTTTCACTAGAAAAATCTAAAATTGTTGTAATTTTTTGACTGCCGTAAACTATTAGAATCTCTTGAAGTAATCCATTTTAAATAGGATAATATCCTCAAGATTTATTCTGGAAAAGCTTCTGGATTAGAAAGGGTTAAAGGCTGTGTGATATGAGTAATGTTGAATGATATGAATTCCCAATGTGGCAAACAAACTCTTCTTTTATCTGATAGGAACATCACATTGCGGTGCAAGGAAACGAAGCGGCAAAAACACGAGAACAAAACGGAAAAGGACAAACTGGACAACTACAGTGCAAACCCCTTTGTAAAAGCCAAACTAAATGGGAATGATGTCCGACAAAGAAAATCTTGAATGATGAAGAGAAGAGACGGTTTCCTGTGGCACCAACAAGCCCATTGTTACATCTGGTGATCCCAGCATCACCAGAATCCAGTTTCTCTGTTGGCTGTCATTGGTACAATTTTAGGCATGGACATATATGCTAAATAGAATTGTAGTTACAGTCACCGGGTCTTTAATTTGAATATTAACTTTTTGCAACACTAACAAAATAATCCTAATGTAATGAAACTAAACATTTCTTCCGCATTTTTATCCCATTTGGATCAATGTCTCCTACTCTGGTTGCACTACACGCCAACCTATGGTGACGCAGACTTGGCTAGTTCATACTAAGTTCTGAATCACTTGTTGAAGAACACTGAAGTGTGGTACTGTATCATACAATGACTTACATAGCCTGTTCCCTGAAGCAAATTTTAAAGCGGTCAGCTCTGTTAGATATCTCTGGAACTTTGAAACCAGGAGGCATTTGGCATCCCATGCTCAATATTTAAAAACCCAAAGTGAGAGATAAAGGTTGGCGCTGCAGGATATTGGCCCTAAATACTTTAGCACATTTTTGTAAGTGTGGTGAAATTCTAAATTGTTGCTGGTGACACCTAGTGGTGGAATAGCACTATGAAACCAATCTTTATTTTTTATTGGATTTAAAAAATTGCTCCAATTATCCAATTGCAGAACATTAGGTGTCCAATAGGAACAGGTAGATATGGGGGTTAAATCTTAACGCTGCTGGCCAGTGTTTGTAAGAAAGGTTCTTCCATATAATTCTTAATGCATTGAGAACTTGAGTGGCTGAGGATTTTTTTATATATATATAATATATATATATATAAAAAGAGAGAAAATGTCCTGGTTTTGCTTTCATGAAGTTATGGTGTTTAAGATCCTGCAGCAATAATGGTTTTGGCTTTAAACTCATAAAAGCCATACAACTGTCATTTTCTATCCAAGTATTGGAATTGGTGGTGTTTTTGCACTTGGGTAGCTTTGTAAACTTGAATTATTTTCTTATTTGCTAAATTGTGACTGTTTTTTAAGCTAGTAAATTGTCTGTGAATACTGGGTACAAGGTAGGATCAGTAAGGTGTTCAAACAAAGCAAAAAAAAGTGCAAAATATTAAGAGATATCAATGGTAACAAAATTGACTAATACTGTATGAACTTTTGTCTTAAATATAAAAAGTAAAATAGAGGTTTTCTCCAGAGATAACTAGCCTATTTGGTGTAAGCTAGAATGCCTTGATCGATTCAGAAGGAAATGTAACGATGGGACATATTCTCTTTGGAGCAACGTTCCATGACCATGTCCCACCTATTATTTTTTACATGCTGCTGTGGTTTTGTTTGACTTTAAGGAGATTGGGGGTCCATTTGGTTCCTACCTAGATCAAACACAGAGAGCGTTATAAGTTTGTTAAATATCATGTTAATCGCTTCAGAGAATGAATGGAATTAATTGGTGCCGTTTTGGTATAAAACAAGATGCTCTGGTTAAACCCCATCAAGTTGCATTAGGAGCCATTATTCTTTTAAATGCATCTGAATGCATCTAAATGCATTTGAAGTGACTTGATCTGACTATAAGCTATAGTACATATTTTCCTGCTGTACAGTAAGCTTAACCTTGAAGCAGATACACCTCACACTGTTGTAAATGTACATTTTCCTTGAAGTAACACCTCGCACTTCTGTAAATGTATATCTGCCCCAGAGTTAGCACATAACTCTTTACTGTATGATACGCCTGCCCTCAGGAAGCATGCACCCAAGTCTACTACCTTTCCCATCATATAAGTGTATTCCCCTCTTCTACATTAAGTATGCTCTTAAGAAAGTAAGGACAGGCTTAATGTAGAAGTCTCACTGTATTTGTTTCCTTTATGTAGCATAAAATTCAATCTACAGTACAGTAAACCTGCCCATGGTGATGTGTACACTTCATCCTACCACCTTTTCCTCAACTAATGTATGTCCTGCTCCACTGTACATTTAAGCTTGCCTCTGATGTGCAATACACCCTATCCTGTGGTACAGGAACATTGTATCTGTGGTGATGTTTGCTCCTTCCTGCCCCCCGCCCTTTCTATAAAATTCTGTCCTGAAAGTACCTTTATACACATTCCTGTTAATTTTAGGAAGGTTGCACGGGCAACATACATTTCCTCAATTTTTCTTCCCACTCCCCGCTCCATGCTACTCAGCTGTAAGGTAATCCTAGCCTGAAATTTTGGAATGTTTTCTAGCAGAAAGTCTTTGAAATGCTTCTCACATCTGTTCCAATTCTTAGGAAATCAGTGTTTTCTCAAAGCTTCTGCTCGTGTTAAATTAATGTGTTTGCAGTTCACACACTGCAGGGACTCTCAAGGTTTTAATTTAAGCCAGCTTTGTTTACATTAACCCTTTGAACACTGAATATTTTCTATTGGTGGAGCTGTCTTGAAAGTGATTTTCTACACGACACTAGGATAACCGTGTACGCTATTAGAACTGATCTTGAATAATGTATAGAATTTCCTTTTCAAATCTAAGTAAACTGCAAATATTTTTAACATTTGAAATATCGCAACAGCCTCTCTAGGAGCCCTGTGGGTTTCTTGAGGGTGGGATTTACGTAGATATGACTTTTAGAGTGGGGAAGTTGGTGGAGACATTTTGGATCATTCAATGAGATATTCCACACAGTGCTTGGACATCTGTATAATAAAACACAGTGCGAAATGGACAGGATTTTAATCATTTGAAGACTTAACTTCTGTTACTTTTGAAATTTGCTTCTTTTTTGTAATATTTAAAACCTAATTTAGCAACTGAAAAGTAGGGACCATTTTACAATATCGTAGAAACTTTTGGAACTTTGCTAGGTCGATTTAAGTAAAAAANTTAGCAGTGTGACTGACCTGTATTGTCGCGCAGTAAAAGGTTGATTTCCTAAAATGACTGTTCACTGTCGGTAGGTAACTACAAATGCTCGCTCCAGTGTGATTTCTTTTGGAATTATGGACGCTGAGTGGGTTTAAGCGCGAGGCACAGTGCTGTGTGTTCCTTTTGACCCACTGGGTGACTCCTGCCCACCAGTGGTGGCAGAATGTATACTCTGTTCTGTACCTCGGCGCAATAGTGCTGCTGTTGTCCTCAAAAGGTTAACAACCTTCTCTGTCTGAGCCGTATTAATGAATGAAGCAAAACTGCACAAGGTGCGTGTTACTAGAGATTCAATCATGTCAGGGTGAGGCTGGACAAAGTGCCTAAATGTAGCCAGTATCCCTTTCTGTTACCCTTAGACTACACTGCAATACTGTTTGTTACACACACACACAATGTGTAATGCAGCAGTGTGTCTTATTTGATTTCTACCACAAGAATAAGCTAAACTACTTAATAGTGTTTTATTTGACTTGAGAGTTGTGAAAGGGATCCTGGCGCTTTTTATTCTCATTGTGTATGTTAATAAATGCCTACGTGTCAGATTCTTATCGCTACTATGTAATCTCAGAACATTAATAGTTTTATGAAACGTTTTACATAGTGATGCTCATCTCAAACAGTTGTGCGTCTGGAGAACTCATTGTTGCAATATGTTCTAAATAAACTGGAAAGTATGAGATTAATGGTCTTGCCTCTGCTTTATCCCTGTGGAGTCCTGTTGCGCATTGCCTCGCAAGTGAGAGGACCTGGAATCGATTTCCGGGCAGTGCAAAACATTAGGAAAGTTTGCTTAAACCAACGTCTCTACTCATTTAGCAGTAAGTAGGAACTGGGGGTAATGATCCCTTCAAAAAAAATGTTTTTTTCAATAATAATAATTTGGTCACTCAATACCTAACTGTTTGTGGGACACTGTTGTGCTCAATTGGCTGCTGTGTTCCTCCCACAAAATAGACAGTCAATTCACTTTACAGTATATTCTGTGGGGCGCTTTGACGTCTCGAAGATGCGATAAGGTGCTATATTAAATTCAAAGATTATTATTACTACTTAGGCAACAAAACATAGAGGGGTCTTGTATTTTAGTCTTTGGCTAACAGACATTTGAATATTGTGCAGGATATGCTCAATAAAATGCTAAGAAGACATTGAACCAAACAATACAAATTGTGCCCTTAACGTAGATTTTGATTAGATTGGAACATTTCATCTTTTTTAACAGGTTTTTGAAGATTGAGCAAACTTGTCTGGATAAATTTCAGTTTCTGTTAAACTACAGTAAATTCCTGATAACTCGGCCCTCCAAGGGAAAGGGGCTCAGTGGCAAGTTAGGAATATGTACAAATACTTAAATAAATGCAGCCGGGATATTGATAGTGTGATGACTTAAGTGATACAACCAAGGTAAGCCAGAGTCAAGTTATCAGGAGTTTAGTTTACATACAAACGTGGATATCTGTCACCATGATGTTTATATGCTCTGCTTGTCAAAAACATGCATCAAGATGGCTTAATCTTGTTTACTTGAAGGAAGAAGGTTTAAGGGTGTAAAAGTAGGAAAGCAGATAGACTTTTTTTATGCTGGGGTGGAGGTAAGGCTTTAAAATATATAAAATAACTCCTAAATAATAAATTCCAGAGTGTTAAAATAGTGGATTGGTACAATCAATTTATATTGCAGGACAAGTTTAACAGGAGAAGTGTATGAAAAGAAACCTTGGGTTGACATTCTTATTTTTATTATTCTTACAAAGCTCTGCAGATCACTAAAATGAGTGGATAGGAGCATGATAGCTGATAGGAGGGCAAGAGAAAAATCATCCTGCGATTGTTAACTGCGAGATCCGAGGTTGGGGTTGTCTGTAAACGGTTTGTAAGTTAACTTACGGCAGTAACAGTTATCAAGTTACATCAGAAATGTTGCATTTCGATATCAAAGAAAATCCATTAAAAGGAACTCGGTAGTTTGATTTGGAGATACTTCATGTTGCTAACAAATTACATTGGTATAGCACCTTTCACGGCAAGAGGATGTCCCAAGGCACTGGACAGATAAAGAAAAATATTACACTATTATAGACAGGATGAAAGGCTACAAGTCATCTTTTTAGGTGGTGCCAACATAAATTCATATTATACACCAGACCTGAGACTTTATTTTAAAGTGCCTTTTGTGAAAATATTAAGTACAAGTCGATGAAGCAATGAATTGTTTTCCAATCTCCCATCCCCACACAACCGCCCCGCATGATATGCTACAACCTAATCCCTTGAAGTCAAAATGAATGTTGGCTGGGGGGAATATTTCCAACTTGAGCGCTCAAATTCTTGCCCCCAGTGTAGGCAAAAAGACTCAGACAAGCAACTGTCTTTTTTTCCTTGTTGCTTTTTGGAATGTGTGAACTTCCATTGCTGGAGTTAATCGTCATCGATGTACTGTAGGTCACTGGAAACGCTGGCCTCTGCACAAGCATCATCTGTTGCCAATGAATTCTGTGGCTGCTTTTTATAGACCAGAACCGAAGAACCTGCAGCGACACACAGCAATTTTAGATAACTCTCCAGTTACTCAGCACGACATTGACTGACTAGAAGAAAGAACCAGACTTAAATTGATCTGTTGCTAAAGCAACTCAAAAAGTAACGAAGAGCAACAAGTAAGTCAATTCTCCCTTGCATCAATGAACGAGAGGTGAACTCGGGCCATTGGTAAGTTGATGTAACATGCAGATTGGATATTACACATATCAGACGTCATCACTAATGGATTCAACAGTTTTTATGAAAATATTATTATTTTTATCCTTATTATTAAGGACCTTATCCTTATCCTTTAAGGACCCAACACGTTATCAACGCTGTTGGTTAGAATTGGTTGGTTATGTGAATGAACGCACCTGAGTATTTTGGAGGTGGGCTGTTGCATTGCAGGTTGTGTTGCGTAAAGGATTTGACCATCCAGGACAAAACATTACTGCAGTATTTGATCTGCAAACAGTACAAAATTCAGCTCAGAGGAGGTTTTAAAGAAAACCTTCCTTATTCAAGTTACAATAATAAATAATCCTTGCATTTGATATAGCGCTTTTCACGTCTTCTAGACTTCTCAAAGTTACTCTTAAGACTTCAAGTCAGATGAAAATGGTGGAATGGTCACACAGTCATTTGTCATTTATCACTTGCCATTGTTAACACATTAAAAAAAAAGCACAATACTTCTAAGGTTAATTTCACTGACCCACAGCAAATAACCTGCACTGTACTGAGAACACCCATGGTGACACAAGTGTAGAGTTGATGCAGTGAGTTGATGACTAACCTCAGCCTCCAGTGTGCTGAGCCGTTTCTCCTGTTCCTTATATTCACTGATGGTTTTCAGCAGTGAATCTACCCTGAAAGAAAGAATGAGCAGTGAGGAGCCTTGGCATCTGTGTAGTTTGTAGAAAGGCCAGACACAGCTTAGAATACTCCTGGAGCTGCTAATGGCAACAAACTAGTCAAGTGAACATATTCTGACAAACTGCTATGGTGAAACTTGTCAATGTTGTATTTAGATCCGAAATGTGCTATGCTCAGTTCACGTATGCTACACCAAGAAGAATCTTTTGATCCCAGCCTCTTCTGTTGATGATGGGTGGATCGCTTGATTCCAATCCTGCCCCTTTGCAGTCTCCACATTACAATGCGTTTCAGTGAAAGGACCTTCTGACCCATTAGGGTCTTAGGGATCTTTTTCCTTATTAGTGCACCTACTTGTTTGAAGTTTTCCTTAGCGTTTCTGTGCTGCTTTCTCTCTTGCCCTTTTCCAAGCCGGCCAGATAGTTGTCTTTCTCTACCGACTCCCAGGCCATCAGCTTCTGGTCCAAGTTTTCGGGTAAGTATTTTTCTAAAAGAATATTTTTAAAAATTTCAGGACTATCCCCACAATTAGAATAATAGATGACGATTTGACGTTCAGTCACTTGCTGTCTTTACTGATCTCTTCAAACCACCGACTCACTCGCACTTTCCGTCACATTCTATCTCATTAACTCTATCTGCATCTCACCAACTCTCTTTGCTTCAATGACTCTCTCTGTGTCTCTCCCAGATTCTCTGATTTTGCCTCAATAACTGTCCTGATTTCTCCAACTCATCATCTCCCAGATTTTAGTACAGCTGTTACACTGCTCAGTTGATATTATTGCCCGGCTAACATTAATGCTGCAATCAGAAGGCTATACGTTTGGCATTCTTGAAGCATAAGATCAAATAGGTCAAAGAGTCATCTTAAGCAGTACCTTTCCAAGTGACTATGATGTATGTCACTTGGGAGAAAGGTGTGCAAAACGCCTGCTCCAAAGCTGGTATAAAGCACAAAACAGAGATCAGATCTTCCAATCTAGAGGTGGTGGACACCTTTTTTCTGGAAGGATGAGATCAGATGGGCCAAAGCGCCTTCTACATCCAAATCTGTCTTGTGATCTTACCAAAGTGCTCTTGTTTGCGTTCTTGCTGCTTGATGATCCCTTGAATGAAAAGGTGAATGTGGCTGATGATGATGAAGGGTGGGGCCAGGGATGGGCGGTTGTGGTACTCAACGATGAGGTTGTAACGCTGGAATTTCCAGAATATATCGGTGTTCTCTTGGACTACCTGGAAAGTATAACTAAAAAGGAAAATATAACACCCATTTACAATGACATCCATGACATTTCGAATTCAAGATCCTCACCCTCACCTACAAGGCCATTCACGGCCTTGCTCCCTCCTACCTCTCCGACCTACTATTCCCCTACCCGCCCGCCCGTACACTCCGTTCCTCTGGCTCCGGTCTGCTCCACATCCCCCGCCCCAACCGCTCTACTATCGGTGGCCGGGCCTTCAGCCTCTCAGCCCCTAGGCTCTGGAACTCTATCCCCCAGTGCCTTCGCCGCCTCCTCGCTTTCCTCCTTCAAGGCCGGTCTCAAGACCTTTCTCTTTGACCGAGCCTTCAGCTCTCCTCTCGACTCTCTACCCCCTCCTCGCTCCCTCCCTTCCCTCCCTCACCCTGACCATTTCCCCCCAATGCTCGGGTCCTGACCCAACTGTACAGCGCCTTGGGACGTCCTTCCGACGTGAAAGGCGCTCAATAAATGGAATCTTGTTGTTGTTGTTAATTAATCCTTGCATTTGATACAGAGCTTTGTCACATCATTGAGACCTCTCAAAGCGCTTCACAGAAGATACTGTAAAATGGATTAACTATTTTGTGGGTGAAACACGGCAGCCAATTGTGCACAGCAATGTCACACAATCAGTCGTGGATTGAGTGACCAAAATATGATTACTATTTTTTTTTGGAGGGATTATATTACCCCTGGAAAGCAATCCACCAAACGACTAGGAACCGGGTTCCTACTTACTGCTAGTTAAACAGGGAGGGGTGAGGAGTAAGAAAACTTGCCTAAGGTTTCATCACACCTTCAGCTTGTGTCATCTACACCATGGTACTCCTTTTCTGACCCTGCCTCTCTGCTTGTTGAATAATGACTAACTGATGTTAAGCAATTAAGACACCTGCTACTTTTTAAAGAGATTACATGCACTACTGTTTGGGGCCATAATTCTAGATGTAATGAAAAGAGATAACAGGAGACTTATTTTAGATTCCTTTGATCACTTCTAATCTCTGTTTCAGGATTCGAAGAAATGGTGTGCGTGTTTTTTTTTTTTGCTGCGTTGCCTGAAGTATCAGCTACCGCTGCTACCACCAACAACTGCTTCACTGCAAGGCTGTTAATTTAGCTCCCTCCACCAATCTATCAGCAGAGGGTTGCTGCGCGACAAGGCAGATTGGTTAGTGGTTTCTCTGAGAAGCCTTACAAGACACTTGGAAGCACTTTGAGATGTCTCAACGACGTGATAAGGCGTTATATCAAATGCAAGGATTATTATTGTATTATTACTGTGTGGAGCCTGTGCTCGGCATGTAGCTCTCCCCATTGCTTTGGTCAAGGCTTGATGTTTGCAGCAAGCCCCCACTGCAGTGCCCACTCCCCTCTGAGCTCTCTTGTGAGATCATGCACATCACCTGAACATGGCAATCAGCAGGTTCAGCAGTAGCACATTGGTGACCAGCAGAAAAATGACCAGGAGCACAATCATCAGCCAGTTGGCATAAGTGTTGGGGCAGGGCGGTGATTTTGGATCTGAACTCTCCGTGCAGTTCGGACCAGGCATCTGAACCTCTAGAGCGACATGGAAATCAATGTCATTAATGCAGGACAATACAACAACAACAGCAGCATGTAAATAGTGCCATTCTCATGGAGTGTCATCTCGGAGCGCCTAAAACCATGGTGGCCAACCTTTTGGGTAGGCCAACCAATACATCCCCCCACTCTTTGGAACTCCATCCCACATTCCCATCGCCTTGGTCTCTCTCACTTGCCTCCTTCAAGGTACGTCTCAAGGCCCTCCTCTTCGACTGCGCCTTCAGCCACCCTCCACCCTCTCTGTGATACCAAACCCCCACCCCACCCCTGCTCGGGTTCAAATCCCCGATTGTTCAGCACCCTGGGACATCCTCCCAAAGTGAAATGCACTGTACAAATGTGAATGTTTGGATTGGTGGGGGAGAGGGCCCGGGCACTTTGTGATGATCCCATGGATCATGGGTTGGCCACTAATGAAGTAAAACATCAACAAGCCAATGGATGTTTCAACAAAGATGATATCTGATCAGTTCCAGCCCCACCAGCCACCCCTCACACCTCCCCACCAAAATGCAGAGACAGTTTACTGACACACCAGAGCGGGACTGAGGTGTCGCCCTTGGCATGAAGTGTTAAGGTCAAGTGGACCGTGAATCTCGTACCGTCTATCTCGTTCAGCGGAATCTGGCCAAATATCTGCAGATAAGGTCTGTAGAGAACCCGCCTGAAAATCCATTCCGGCCGCGTCTCATTGGGGTGGAGCAAGGCCTGAGTGGCCACTCCGTACGCGATCAGCCACACAAACAGGAAGAACAGGAAGAAGAAGACGTCTTTCATCTGGCGGAGGAAAACCGGAGCGTATAAAGGGGCGCCCACAACGAAAAGTAAAACTTTTTCAGCCCTCAGATTTACGGTGTCGGAAGTCCCCGAGTGATGTTTGGATGAAGCAGGCCTTTTGGTTCAACTGATCTCGCCCTACTATTTGCTAAACGCTAAAAAAAAAAATTGGTCACTCAATTTGTGGGGCACCGCTGTGCGCAATTGGCTGCCACCTTTCACCCAGAAAATACACAGTCAATTCACTTTACAATATATTCTGTGAAGCGCTTTGAGACATCTCATGATAAGACTCTATATCAAATGTAAGGATTATTATCATTATTATTAAATCATTGTGAGGAAACTATTCCGAGGAGCCCTTCAGATCCTTGGGGATATAGGGTAATAGTGGGTGAGTGAGACTGATTGGGTAATTCTTCCAAAGAGCGGGCACAGGCATGATAGGCTGAATGGCCTCCTGTGCTGTAATATTCTATGATTCTATGATCCCATTCAGTCTTTCTATTGTGGTGTCAAGTCTCAACCATCCTCAGACTGGTAACCCATTCCAGGGGTCGATTCTCCTCTGTGTAAAGAAATACTCGGTGTGTCCTAAACTGTGTTTCTGGCAGTAAAGGGGCGCCCCATTCTTAACGCCTTTCGATACTGCGCTGCCTCGCTGAGAACCCGGGACGTCTATATACCGGCTGTTGGATTTTTAATCAAACCTCAACAAAAACGAACGACTTTGGCATTTGGTGCCTTCTCTGGCTGTGTAAACCGAGGCACCTCGCCCACACTCACCATCCTCTCCACAATGATGATCTTTGGTCCCAGCTGCTTGTGGACAGCAAAGATGTGGATCAGTCTGAGAGCAAACACCATGAAATCCAGGCACAGGAGTGTCCGTCCCGCATCGTACGTGGACAGGTACATCCTGGGCGAGAAGAAGGAACAGGTTCAAAACTAATCCCCAAATCGTATCTGGTCTATTAACACTCTTTGCATTTGATACAACAAGCCCTTATCATGTCACAGAGGCTTCTTAAAACGCTTCACATGAATTTACTGTAAAGTGTAGTGACTGTGTATTTGCAGGCAAACGAGCCCAATTTTATTGGGGGTGGGGCACGTAGGGGAAATCACTAAACAGAATACAGTCATACTTGTGCCTCGGCAGGTGGTGGCAGTCTCTGGAGAAGTGCCTTCATTACAGAGTTACCCTCACAAGGTCAGAATCTCCTTATTTACAGTGAAATTCCTCTCCACTCCCATTTAACCAGGGGCTGGTTGCACAGCACCAGAGAGTGACCCAGGGTAATTCAGAAGTCAACCCAGATGGACTTGCTCTCTGATACGACCGTTCTACAGGGGAGGTTCCGCCAACAGCCGAGAGGAGACAAGCCAATGTCTAGCATAGCACTGAGCCATTGCAGACCCAGGCTAGCTGACCTCACCCAGGACAGCACGTGAGGCCTGCTGTTGGCCTTGGCGATTCCTGACACTGACCTGCAGGACACTCCCACGATAAACAGCAGCATCGCCACCATGTCGCACTTATTCCACGCGTCCTCCACATACAGCTTGAACTTCTTTATTATGTTTGTGGCTCCTTCCGAGAAAAAACCCTGGGTCAAAGAGCAAATACAAGGGAGCTAACATAAGGTATGCATGTCGCATCAGTTGACTCAGGGGTAAATGATTGACCTCCGCTTATCCCTTCCGTCACCGAGTTCACACTATACTTCTGGGTCTTCACCTTAGTCTTGGAGGAGCAAGATTGACAAGGATTGACAAGGGTCAATCACTTAATTCTTAGACTATTGGCCTCAGGGGATGCAAATTGGGTTTTGAAATAGTACAAGATCCTGGGCTTGGCTTTGACATCTTACAGTCAAATAATTCAGCAGCACTCACTCTCGATACTTGTATGTGAATAATGGTCACTTGGGCGAGATGGCGGATTGTCAAGCACCATGATGGGACTGTAATCTTTATAGAAGGGCGGGATGGGAAAGGGATCAAATGCCTAGAGAAGTAGGGGACAGAAACATAATGGAGAGAACCTTTTATTCTCTTCATAGAATCATAGAATTGTACAGCACAGAAGGAGGCCATTTGGCCGATCGTGTCTGTGCCGGCTCTGTGATAAAGAGCCAGCACAGACACAACGCTCTTCCTCACCCTACCTACAAGATCATTTTACCCATACCAGATTTTTCTCTCTTTCTCTCTCTTCCCCACACGGACACTTGACTGGATGCATTCGTAACTTACCTGCCTGAGCTCCTCCAAGACTAAGGTGAAGACCCAGAAGTATAGTGTGAACTCGGTGACAGAAGGGATAAGCGGAGGCTTCTTGAAGTCCACCAGCAGAACGTAGGCGAAAAGGAAGAGGAACGTAAAGTACATGATGACATTCCCCAGGAACACGGTCACGGGTGCACCCCAAAATTTCTTCCACCTTCTGAAGATGAAAGCCCGCCGCTGCCTCCTCATCGAACGCAGTTGTTCTTTCTCCTCCTCTCCCTGGTTACTGTCGAGCAAACAAGATTACATCGTGTTAGAAACCTGATGTGGAAACCAGAGAATGAAACAAACCTTTCATACCAAGTGGGTTTGATAAAAGAATGGCCCGCAAACCTCTGGATCAATAGACTTGTTGGTGTCATGGCTTGCTTGTGGGACCCTGTCACGCGTTACTTAGTTAATAACCGGTTGTACGTCGATTGGCTGATCGTGTTTCTGGGGGTAATAATTTCTTCCCCAAAAATTACAAAAATTTGGTCACTCAATACATGAGTGTTTGTGGGACGCTGCTGTGCGAAATTGGCTGATGCATTTCGCCCACAAAATATACAGTCAATTCACTTTACAGTATATTCTATGAAGCGCTTTGAGACGTGATAAGGTGCTGTATCAAGGGTTATTATTATAATAAGGGGGCTGATAAGTGAATGACCCCCAACTCTAGATAAACAGGCTTGTGGGACCCTGTCACTTGCAAATTGGCAACAGAATACCTAGCTCCTACCCTGGAAGCAGGGCTCCCTGTAAAGCAGCTGTAAGACATTTCGATGTTGTAGGCATAATAAAGGGAGACTATTGCGGCTCTACAAAGCAGTTTCAAACGTGTTTTTCGCCATGATCTGAGTGATCATGTTTCCCCTTTGTTACCTGGCCTTCATTTGGCCAGAGTTCCACATCTACATAGGAACAGAAGTAGGCCATTCAGCCCTTCGAGCCTGTTCCACCTAACTATGTCTAACTAGCAATACAATAATGCAACAGAAGAGAGGAGCGATTCAGGCATGTGGTTGAGTACACAGTGAATTCTGTGTCACACAGAGGCTCTCCTGGTTTGGACAAACCTGTTTGTCTTGTCACCCAGCAGTAAAACTTGTTCCGTGTCCCAACTGTCCAGTTCTTTCAATTGTTCGGACTCCCCTACAGACAGCTGATCGTCCGTACTGAAATGAGACAAACAGAAAAAGTTCACGTTTCTTTTCCAATTCACGTTTGCGTGGAGCTCTGATCAAATAAACCCCTTCCCTTCTCCCCACTCCCTACTTCGGCACAACGGTTGGGCAAAGTCAGCCCGAAAATGTCAGCACCAGATACCAGAGTTAAAGAGTGGCGGGGTGAGTTGAGATGAATATTCTCAGATTGTACTTGAATGGAAACAAGGAAGTATCCACAATTTGTACCAGAAGGGAGGAGTGGGTCAGGGATGTGATTGAGTGCAATATAATACAATACAAAATTACACCTTTGTATAGCGCCTTTCATGTTGGGAGGACGTCCCAACTGTGTGAATGTGCGTGAAATGCTCCGGAATGCTACCCAAGTGAAGGGTGCAATATAAATGCAAGTTGTTGTTGTATTTGCTCCCTCTGGAGTGGATTCCAAGGGTACTCTTAAGCATAATGATTGGTTTCCGCATGTGTCAGATACCCGGCTGACCAAAAAAAAAGGAAGGTAGGGATCTATATGGGTTGCACCTGTTTAAGAAGAGAATGGAGTTTCTCCCACTGTTCTGGCCAACAATCTTTCAGATTAATGGGTCATTTGCCTCATGGCTGCTTAAAGGACCTTTACTGGTGTAAACTTCTTCCATTGTTTGCCTTACAAGCTAGACTTGAAGGTGATTATCGTGAAGAGCTTTGAGATGTTTCAACGCTCTCCGCTGATGTAAAAATGCAAGACCCTCCTTTATTGCATGTATAAACCATTGGTAACTTATTGCCACAGCGTCACATTTACATGCAGCTGGTTAATGTGTGTGGTGAGGTGCTCCTCACAACTTTGAAACATTTTCTTGTTGACTTATTACCTGAAGTCCATCAAGTTGGTGTATATCAGAGGAGGGCAAAAGAATGCGAAGACAAGCTTCCATATTGCGGTGTCAGTTGACATCGCGCCCCACCAGATTTTCGTCAACAGAGCCTGAAATACAAGATTTTAACATTAGATCAGCAATAGTATTATTGCCTTGAAACTATTCTTTTCTATACTATGCATTGCACAGTTTCAGATCTAAATGGGCAGCAGTTTGTCACGGGCTGTTGAGTTTTATTGGGAAACAGAGGTGAGGTCCTCAGTCCATTGTAAAGGACACAGCTAAGGCTGAATGAGAGATGATGGGATGAATGAAGAAGCTGTGGTTAGATGATAAAACTTCGGTTAGATTATAAGGAGAGAAGACAGAGAGACAAGGAGCTCTACATTGCTTAGGTTCTGAGAATGAATGAGTTAAGAGTTGGAAGACTATGTGATGAATCTTGATTCCAAAACCATTTCAGATCTTGCCTTCGAAAGGACAATGCTGTTACTGGGCTTGAGGACAGGATTGCAGAGCTGAACTGAAGAAAAGACTGAAGGTGCATGCATGTTTCTAGGTCTTTTGGGATCACGAATGATCCAAGTTTTTAGGGGGAAACACCAAATGTTCTCACAGATTTTAGCAGTTACTCATTGAAGTTGCACAAGAAGAAGTCAGACTGTATCTACCTGAACACCATTTTGTGCAAAGAAGTGCTTGGCATCAGCCTCTGTGGCTAACTGCAGGCAAGTGGCTTTACTCCAGTGCTTGGTCTTGCGAATCAGCAGGATAAAGGCTCTGTCCTCGTTGTTACTGTAACACTTGGTGAACAAATCTAGAAGCCAAATATCAAAAACCAATTGTAAACAGAGTTGCCGTGCCAAGAGTTGCCCTGCCACTGATAGCCTAAGGAAGAATGCTTATTATTCCACGGGGGCTACTTACAACGGGGGCTATTGGAAGCAAGTTTCACCCTGCCTGGGAATCGAACCCAGGTCCTCTTGCTTGAGAGGCGAGGGCGCTACCCACTACGCTACAAGCCTCGGTAATTGGGGAGCAAAGCATCACTCCTTGCCTCCCCCGATTCTGTACCTGATAAAAAGCACATATGGAAATAGACTGAGTACAATGGGGTGGTTGGTGTCCCTGTAACAGTACATGACTGAAGCCTGCAGCTGTATTATTTTCAATGCAAATGATTGTGCCCCATGAATGACCAGCATCATTTCCCTAGCCTGGCGATTAAGTTTGACTGATGCAGTCACGCTGCTTTTGGGCTCTGTCTCAGACTCAAACACCCCGAACAGCGAAGATCACATGGAAGCTGGGAGAAGGAACAAGATCACGAGGCACAACACAAGGGGGCAGTGATCACTCTATCCTATTCTGCTCCCGCACATTGCCCGTTTATGGACACTTGCTAGCATTCTTCACTCCGCCAGCTATAATGGTAATAACCCCCCCCCCCATAGAGTCCTGTAGCGTAGCGGTTAGTGCGCTTGCCTCGCAAGCGAGAGGACCTGGGTTCGATTCCCGGGGGAAACCTTGGGCACGTTTCCTTACTCCACACGCCTCTGTTTACTGAGCAGTAAGTAGGAACCCAGTTGTTAGTCAATTGGCGGATCGTAATAATGCCTCCAAAACAATAAAAAAATTGGTCACTCAATCCACAAGTGTTTGTGGGACACTGTTTATGGAATTGGCTGCCGCATTTCACCCACAAAATACACAGTCAATTCACTTTACAGTATATCCAATAAAGCACTTTGAGACGTCTTGAAGATGTATTAAGGCAATGCAAGGGCTATTATTATTATAAGTACCGATTGCGAGCTGTTCGAATTTTGCCTCCTTCATGCTTCGAGCGGTCTCACTGTCCGATTCCAGTCGAGCCATTTGTTTCAGGATCTTGCAGGCGGCAAGAGCCGTGGCCACTGCCTCCGGACACTGAAAACAACAAGTAAACCCGTCTGGTTAGGACTTGATGCACTAACCGAGCTGCACGTTGGCTCTGAGATAAAAGAGCGCACCTCAGGAAACGGAGGAAGCACATTAACTCTGAGAGGTTTATAATGTTTATCAGTCTTTTTGGGTGGGGTCAGCACACGGACATCAATCACCGTGTTCAAGAGTATCCAAATCAAACCGAGAATTCCATGCATCCCACCTGCACATGGAAATTGCAGAGATAGATTGTTGGAGTGGAATGTGCACTCTCTCCCTGGAGAGAATCATCCTGTTTGCCTAATTCCGCTAAGTATTAGGAGCAGGTTCTTCAGCAAAGATTATCCTACCTGCTAAGGCTTTGTCTCAAAGGGTTGAGGAGAATGGAGGATGGGGTAGCGGGAGATGGAAGAATGTGGAATGCTTCACCACAAGCGGCCCACAACAGGATGTGAAATGAAAGGAAATTAGGTAAATAATTGAAGAAAGTTAATAGTAAAGGTTATTGAGTACGAGATTGGGAATGGGATTAGAGTAGCACCAGACAGACGCTGACTGGCCTCTTTGTGGGTTGTAAACTATGCCATCGTTAAGCATTTTGAGATGCTACCCGCTTGAAAGTTGCAAGCTGTTGTCATTCTACTGTAAACTCCGTGATGCACTCCCAACAAGGCTCACCATTTCCCAGAAGTACTTGGCCATTTTCTGCCTGTTCTGCAGCACGGCCCACAAAAAGAGGTCCCGCCAGGGGTTCCGACATTTCTGGTTTAAATCGCCGGTCCCACACAACTTCTGGCCTCGGAGCTTGTTATTCAATTCCTGAAGGATTGCATTGCAGTTGAGAAATGGAACACAGACTGACTCACAAACCCAACAACAAACAGCATTGACTTTTGGTATTTAGTGGCAATCTCTCCCTTGTTTTCCCTTATATTTTAAAGTAACACCTCTGTCCCTCCCTCTCTCTTTTGCTCCATTGTCCCCAAGGCTCCATGCTAGCTCATTGAGTTTATTCAGTGAAAACCCGATGCCAAGTTCTATCTCCAGGCTTTGCTGTGTTAGCTGATCTCACCCGGGATGGCACAATGGAATGTTGCCAGAAATCATTTTATTCATCTTGTTTCTCTCTGCATGGTTAAGGGAAGAGGGGGTCACAAACGTAATTTTATGCCAAATACAGACGTCCTCTTCGACCACTTCTTTGGTCATCCTCCTGCCCCTACTCTCCCTGCCCTCCTGATCCCAACCCCCAGTTCGAGTCCGAATCCTGTCTGTCCTGCACCTTGGGAACGTCCTACCAATGTGAAATGCGCTGTGTTTTTTTGGTGGTCATCCGGGGGTCTGACACGTGCGGAAACCCATCATCACGCTTAAGAATATCCAAATCAAGCTGAGAAAATTCCATGCATCCCACCTACGCACGGAGATTCCAGGGATAGATTGTTGGAATGGAATGGGCACTGGAGACACTGTATAAATGTAATCTGTTGTTGTTAAGAGACCAATGCTCACTGAGCATTTCACTGAAAGCTCCCTTACCATTTTTTCCGTGTCACTCACTGTCTGTTTGCTTACCATTACGGGTTTCTTAATACCAATTGGTTTGCGAGGCTGGCTGAAGTCCTGGAAAAATTCCTTGCCCGCATCATGCAGGAAATCCTTTAGGACCTTGGCCACTTCGTGCAGAGTGAACTTGGTCCGGGTGTCCAGGGAGTCGCGGTGCAGGGCTGCGTTCATGCCCGCGATGGTCAGCCTTTGCTCCTCGTGCTTTTTCAGGAGGAGCTCATACAGGAGACTCTTCTGGGAAATGGAGCAGTACAGCTCCTGCAGCCGGCCGTAAGTCAGGAAGTCACGGAGATTCATGCCGTTCTCGATGAAGAGGCGGACGAAATCCGGCTTGTCGTTCACCAAGGCGTCCAGCATCGCCTCTTCCAGGTCACGAGACTGCAAAAGTGCGGCCCACAATTAAACACCTTCCCATTAGCAAGCCAGAGTTACAGCAAGTTACACCTGTTCTTGAGTTCACAAGATCCCAAGACAGGTTCAGCCCATCTGGTCTCATCCTTCCAGAATCACTACCCACCCACCTTCATGTCCTCCCATTACAGCATCAACTTGTTTCTTCAATGTTTCCAGTGCCCTGGCCTCACCCAATCTTCTCTGGTAAGTAACCTTGAGGAGATAAGTCATTTTCTCTATCACATGTGTATGTTACAGTGCACAGGTCAAAATGACTTTCACATCAAACTTGTACGCTACATGGTACAACTTTTCAACAGCTGGATGCTCATTGCACTGATATTGAATATGCAGCACAGACCCATTATACTTTGTTCACTCAACCCACGACTGTTTGTGGGACGCTGCTGTGCGCAATTGGCTGCCGCATTTCACCCACAATATATACGGTCAATTCACTTTACAGTGTATCCTGTGAAGCGCTTTGAGAATGTCTCAAAGACGTGATGAGGCGCTATATCAAATGCAAGGATGATTATTATTATAATGCACTTCAGTACAGAGCAAATTCACTTTGCTCCCTCCCCCTAACTCTGCGACTTGCTGACTCCATATCATATTGTATGCTCCCTCCGCTCAGCAGGCACTGGCCTGTGTCAAGTCCCTGCACAGCCCACCTTACAATTGGCAGCCAGGCCTTCATCCCTTCTGCCCGACCCAATGGAACTCCATCCCACATTCCCCTTGCCTCTCTCCCTCTCTCGCCTCTTTGGTGCACGTCTCAGAAGCCTTCTCTCCGACTGAGCCTTCAGCCACCCTCCTCTCTCCCTGCCCTCCACACTCCCCAATCCCGACCCCCCCCGCCCACCTCTGGTCCAAATTCCATTACTGTCCAATGCCTTGGGACGTGCTCCCGACATGAAAGGCGATATATAAATTTAAGTTGCCGTTGTTGTTTTGCACTGAATTGAGTTAAAAATCAGTCTCCTACCTTCCATTCCACATCTCCGTTGAAGATCTCGCTCTTGGCAATATCTACTCTGTTCCAGGCCACAGCAAGTTTCAGTTCATCCAGATATTCGTGAGCTTCTTGGCTTTGACTTTTGCAGGCTGTGAATGTAATGGGGTGGGGGGGCTTTACTCTTTGTCACTCTCCTCTTTGAATTAAGAGGCCCCTTCAAGTGCATTCGATCTCAGGCCCTAATGAACCAGTGGAAGCCCAGCTCATTGCCCAGTTTCTGCGTACCCACTGGCTTTTTGCCCTAAAACTCACAAGTTACTGAGTGCTTAAGTCGATGATTCAAAATCTCCTGGAAGAATTGTTTTAGGTCCCATTTACGAACACATGATGTTCAGCATTATTGCTGGCGATGTCTCTTTATGCTTTATTCAGCGATCACCGTAACGACAAAGGGCAAAGGACATATTCCCCTACCTTTGACCAGGGCTTTCAGAATAACCGTGTCTAACTCCTCTGAGCTTTCCTGCTCTGCCTCGTGCACTGTTATAATGTGGTGATTGGCCAAAATTCTTTGAATCTGGAAGGAAGCAAAAGGGTGTGAGAGCAGTGGCACGACGTAAGGATCCTGGACAGAGATGGGGTAAGGATAGACTGAGTTAACAATAGCAGGACGGGAGGGAGAGGACATAGAGCTGAGCTTGGGAGGATAAGAGAGACATAATATGGTTATGAGAACTCCTGCAGAATGCAAGACCGAGAGACAAGTCTGCTAATCAGTTAACAAATATTTGAAGCCTTAGTCGGGAGGAACCTATTGTTTGGACCTATTGTTATTCATAGGTATAGGGAACTATCCTGAGCTATTAGAGTGACCAGAGTCCAAATTGTTCACAGAATTGTGATCGTTCGGCCAGAAAAATATTGTTTGCAAATGTAGTCCCTAATCACATGTCTTATTACATAATCTTATTGCAGTCTTGTCAACATCGTGTTACAATCTCCCCAACATCATTATAATCTCCCAACATCTTATTACAATTTCCCAACATCTTATTATTATAATTACAACCCGCCAATGTCTTATTACAATTCCACAGCTGAACGGTCGGCAGGTGGAGAGAACGGGTTTTAGCACACTGGGTGCAATACATAGACCCATGTTTATAAATGTCTCCTTTAAAGGCTGAACAGCCTTAACTTATTGCTCTTGGCTCAGCTTTCTAATGCTAAAAATACTGGCAGTGTTCATCTTCACTCCTGAAGCCGTTTAGTGCATTGAACACCACATTGAATCTCACCAGTTCAGTCCATTTGAGAATATCGTCCCACGCAAAGGTTTCACTGGGAAACGTTTCCTGCATCTCTTCCTGCACAATCTCTGGGACCAACGGCTGGCTCACCAGTGAAGCAATGACGTCAGCGAGGCCGCCAGACCCTGCCAGGACCAGCCACGGGATAGAGTCCGCCATCCCCTGGTAGATTTTCTAAGGGTACAATTAAAACAACCATTTACCACAGCTTTGCACTGAGTGAGAGGTGAGCAGCAGTTCTGGACAAGTCTGTGTCTCAGAACTACCCAATAGTTCAGCACACTGGGGCAGGGCAGGGCTTCTTACCTGCAGCATTGTAGGGTGTCCATGGACCAGAATCGAGAGAACAGGAATCTCAACACTGCCTGTTCCTGGAAAAAACAGAGAAAATTTAGGACCAAATGCAGGAATCTTGACTTCGCCTCTTGCTCGGCTTTATAAATAGAGGCATAGAATCCAAAAGTCAGGAAGTTATGATGAACCTTTATAAAACACTGGTTAGACCTCAGCTAGAGACTGTGTTCAGATCTGGGCACAAAACTTTAGGAAGGATATCAAGGCATTGGAGAGGGTACAAAGGAGATTTACCAGGTTGGTACCTGGAATGAGAGATTTTCAGATTCTCCATGCTAGAGAAGCTGGGATTATTCTCCTTGGAGCAGGAAAGGTTAAGGAGAGATGTAATAGAGTGTTCAAAATGATGAGGGGATTCGATAGGATGAACAGGGAGAAACTGTTTCATAACATAACATAACATGTAGGAGCAGGAGTAGGCCATTTGGCCCTTCGAGCCTGCCCCGCCATTCAATTATGGCTGATCTTCTAATCTAACTCCAGCTAATAACCTGACACTGCCTTATCCCCATATCCCTTAATGCAATACGAAATCTATCTGAGTCTTGAATATGTTCAAGGACTGAGTGTCAACAGCCCTTTGGGGTAGCGAGTTCCATACATTCACCACCCTTTGAGTGAAGAAGTACTTCCTCAACTCAGTGCGACAGGGCTGGCCTCTGATTTTAAGGTTGTGACCCCTGGTTTAGTTTCTCCAACCAGGGGAAACAATCTCCCACTATCTACTCTATCATGCCCTTTGATGATCTTATAGGTTTCTATAAGATCCCCTCTAATTCTTCTATATTCTAGAGAATATACGCCCAAATTGGTCAGCCTATCCTCGTAACTCATCCCCTTCATCCCTGGTACTAACCTAGTAAATCTACGCTGCACCCCCTCCAAGGCAAGTACATCCTTCCTTAAATGAGGAGATCAAAACTGGACATAGTATTCCAGGTGTAGTCTCCCCAAGGCCCTATACAGTTGCAGCAAGACTTCCCTACTCTTATACTCTAATCCTTTCATACTGACGGGTAACCAGAGGACACAGATTTAAAATAGTTGCCAAAAGAATTGCATGTGTCTCATACATGTTGTGGGTGCACAACAGATTCTAGTTGCCTCCTTCCCACTCCCGGTTGCTCGTTTTCCAAACTGGGCCATTGTCCTGCGCTCCGAGATGTTATCCTATGTGAAGGCTGATGTATACAAATGCAAGTTGGTGTTCTGTTGTCAAAGTTCCACTACCTTTTGCCTGCTCCCGGAATAAAATCCTGGCATTTGATATAGTGCCTTGTCACGTCTTCGAGACGTCTCAAAGCGCTTCACAGAATATACTGTAAAGTGACTGTATATTTTGTGGGTGGATATCAGTGACCTGATCCCATTCCAACTGGTATTTACCTCCATAGCCTGTCTGCTGTTCAGAGATGTGCTTTATGAGTTTCAGCAAAAGTTCTTTGGTGCCATCTTCAGTCTCGTCCTCCACCAGTATGAAGTGTGAATGGTTGTTGTCCAGGGAGTAGGGAGGTCCTTTCACTGTCTCCTCAATCTGGTAGCTCGCTGGGCTGCAATGCTGATTAGCATCGAGTGTGAAAGATCACGCAGATGAGTTAGTGCATGTTCATGTGAGTGGATAACATTACAAGCACATTGAACGTAGTCAAAGATAATTGAGAACAAAGGAAGGCTTTGAGGCTAGTTAAAGAGGAGACAAATGGAGGTGGAAAGACTGAGGCAAGGAGTTCCGGAGATTGGGGGCTTAGTGGCTGGGGATACAGCCACCGATGGCGGTGCGGAGAGTTCGGGGGGGGGACTTGTAGCAGCAACAACAACTTGCATTTAGATAGTGCCCCCTTACGCAGGGTAGCTTCCCAGAGCGGGCGCTATATAATAATCCTTGCATTTGATTTAGCGCCTTATCACGTCTCCGAGATGTCTCAAAGCGCTTCATGGAATACACCGTAAAGTGAATTGACTGTGTATTTTGTGGGCACAGCACAGCGTCCCACAAACAGTCATGGATTGAATGACCACATTGTTATTATTAATATCTGTTGTCATCGCAGCAGGCCTTTGTTAGTTGAGCGAGAGGAGTGAGCAGAAAAGCCAGGTTCGAAACACGTTTGCTCAAGATTTTTGTAATACAATGAGATTATCGTAGAGGCACTTTTCGAACTCTACGTACGGACGGACTGCTGAAACTGGCTACGTTCTAACAGAGCAGAGAGTAGGAGGCTTGTGTTGGCTATTTACCGTGCCACTGGCTAAGGCTTCGCTGTTCTGTATGATCTCCCATGGCGAGAGTCCAAGGGCGAGGACTTTGACTTTGGAGGAGTTGCTGGCCAGTGCATGGTCGCGGACTGCTTCCCCTATTAGCCTGGTCACGCCGGCTCTCAGCCCACTGGTAATGATCCACGCTCCTGCACAGAGATCCAGGGAGTAAAACAGACATTTCTAAGGCAAAGCACAGGTGCTCCAAATGAAACAATGATGTCCCTCAAACCCACTGGTCTCATTCCACTGGACATTTGTGATGTCTTTGTCTTTGTGTACGAAGAGAACTGCCTTACCCTCTAGCTCACCAGCGCTTCCTTCTAATGCCCTTCCCTTTCTCTCCTGCCGTCTCCAGCACTGCCGTCCTGGCACATTATCTCTCATCATCACACTGCATCTCCCTATCAACAGCAGCAAGTTGCATTTGAATAGAGTGCTTTTACGGTGGATAGCCTCCTTCCTCCAGGGTAGAGTCTCTGAGTGCTTAGCTATCGTTCTTCCTCTTTCCCTTTTGACCCTTTTTTTTATTCTCTCTTGCTATTGAGTTTGTAAGGCAGAGTGCAGTTTTATTGAGGGCCGCACAGTGTGCAGTGTTTTCGCTATCTTGTCGTCAATTTAATCAAATGATAAATATTGAAGGACTAAAGACACATTTGAGTGAAGAACTCGGCTACAGAGCTGCACATAACACAAGCGTCCAATGGGTTTGAGGAACATCATTGAGATAAGGCCGAGGGACATGTGAGCTGCACCTACTCCAGGCTCTACCCAGCAGTCAAGAATCTTCTTCAATGCCAGTTCTTGACCTTGAAGTCTTTGAGCACAAGGCGAAAGGAAGGAAGACAAAGAGAAGTGGAGGTGAGCGTACCTGTGCTCTGAGCGGCCTTGACCAGCCCCTTCCAGATATCCCGGAGCCACGGTTTCATCGGCAAGTTTTCATTTCCTCCCATGATTGACACGACGAGGCTCGGGGCCAGCAAGTTCCAATCTGCAGTCAGCAACTCAAACAGGGTGGCCGGAGAAATGTTACGAGACACTCGTGCCACCTGGAATAGGACACCGTGGTTAAACAATAGGAGAAACGACATAGGAACATTCAACCATCGAGTCTCCTGCCCCATGCAGTTAGTTCATGGAAGCGCTAACCTTTCTCATTCCACATTTCTGGTCTTCAACAACACTGACAACAACAACCACCACCACTTTTGTTTATACAGCGCCCTTCACAGAAGTGTCTCGAAGCACCTTCCCCCATATCCCTTAATACCCTTATTTCCCAAAGTACCCTTGTGCCTGCAAATCTGAGAGGAATCCAATTAAAATATCCTGAAGCTTGAAAAGGATGTGAACGGAGCATCCAGTCAGACCCAGTTATTATAACACAGTAGGTACAGAGCGGGTCTGTTTGTAGCACACATGCTCAGCTCACACCAACGAGACGCCAGTGTTAATACCAGGCCTTGTTACCATGTAGGGTCTGATTTTTATGGCCCCCAACTAGAAAGTGTCAATTCTTTCAAATGTAAATGAGATAGATTTATTTTAAGGAATTAGATAGGTACTTGAAGAGGCAACATTTTCAAGGATATGGGGAAAGAGCGGGAGAGTGGGAACTGATTGGGTAGGTCTTCCAAAGAGTCAGCACAGGCACTATAGGCCGAATGGCCTCCTTCTGTGCTGTAATATTCTATGATTCTATGAAATAATACAGTATATGAGTAGTTCAGGACATGGCACGTGCATGAGACTGCCAGGATGGTGAACTGGATGGACCTTGGTCTTTTCTCATCCAGCATTTCCTATGTTCCTATATTCCTATGTTGATATGTTCAAACCATCACATTATAACATGTTATTCCACCACCCTGGCAGTCGCGTGCACATGCCATGTCCTGAACTACTCACATACTGACTGTAATCTGGACACTGGCATCTGGTTAAGGGTTGACCACATCCCGAGGATGACCAGATCTTAACCGCGATTTTGACAAACACAAGTTGACCAGGGACGGTAGGTTCGGGTAAAGTTCAGCCACTGTTCAGATAATCAGACCTATCTGGCACATGGCTCCCTCTCCTGAAATGTGCTCGAGTTGGGTGAATGACAGCACGTACCTTGCCGTGTTTCTTTCCAGATCCAGAGAACTCGATCTCTATCCTTTTGACGGACTCTTCGTTGTTGCGGCCATTATGTTTATTCCCTCTTGTCCCAAATCCCTGTTCTGTGACTGCTGCAAGCTCAATGCTGGATTGAGGAAATTGACAAGCACTCAACTGGGTTCCTCAGCAAATTGCTTTGATTTATACGTTTTACACTAGCGCTGGTTGAAGTTCTGTAGGTGTATTACAGAAAAATCCCTAACATGATGCAAGTTGAGATCTTACACCTTACTTTCAGTGTTAACTCTCAATAGGCAACACAGACAAAGTAGGAGACCATCACATTGTGATGGTTAAACTCATCATAAGCCAGAGTTCAAACCAGTGAGCTTCTGGTCTGTCAACTTTATCTGTATTGATGCTGCCTCTATATTTAACCAATCAAACGAGTCTTAAATTCCCTGAGAGACCATTAAGCCCATCTTGATTAGGAGGAGAGTAGAGTGTTGTAGTGTTAGTTCAAGAGAATCGCATAGCAATATATACAATTGGAAGAACCAGACAACTTTGGTCTACAATAGAGCTTTCCACTCTATTATAGATTAATCCATATAGAATTAATTGCTATTAACATCTCCATTATTGTAGCATGTTCAGGATAGAACATGCTGGATAGAAGAAGGTGAATGAGATAGAACTTGGTCTTTATTGTCCAGCAATTCCGATGTTCTTACAATTGTCTAATTCTGAGGACACACACACACGCGCCCCACACACACGCGCACTATACACACCCCACACACAGTCATTGCGTGTATTATTGTGTGATCAGTCAGTCAAATGACTTCCCTGCTGCACAAGATCTAAAAATTATTCTATATATAACATGCAAACTTTGCCACAGGTTTTGCATAATGACGTGCAATATCAGCAGGTCTCACAGAACGGGCAGCAATAAAGGAAGCAACTTTGCATAGTTTCAACTTCACCCCTGGCGCTTTCGCTATACCCCAGTGTTGTTTGTGGTAGCAAAGTTTCAGTTTTGCTGAAATACCATGTTTATAAAAAAAGATAACTCGCAATAGTTTTCCATTCCACATCTACAGCATCACAACAACAACAACAAATTACATTTAGAAAGTGCCTTTTACGTCAGGAGGATGTCCCAAGGTGCTGGACATTCAGGGATTTGGACTCGAGCAGGGGCTTGGGATCAGGGGGTTGGAGGGCAGGGAAGGTAGGGGCAGGAGGGTGGATGAATGTGCGGTCAAAGAGGAGGGTCTTGAGATGTACCTTGAAGGAGGCAAGGGAGGGAGCGAGGCAAAGAGACTATAGGATGGATTTCCAAAGGGTGGGCGCAGAGAGACTGAAGTCCCAACTGCCAATGGTAGGGGACATGGAGCAGGCTAGAGCTTGCTGAGTGGAGGGAGCGGACAGGTTGATATGGGGTCAGCAGGTCACAGAGGTAGAAAGGAGCAAGGCCATGGAGGGCCTTGAAAGCGAGGATGAGGATTTTGAACTCTATCTTCTAGGGGGTGGGGAGCTAGTGGACTGGGCGACGGTGGGGCTGATAGGGTCACGGAGCCTGGTGCGGGAGAGGACACGAGCTCTGCAGAGTTCTGGATGATCTGCAGCTTGTGGAGGGAGAGTTGGGAAGGCCAACAAACAGGGAGTTGGCTTAGTCAAGCCTAGATGTAATAAATGCGTGTATGAGTGTTTCAGCAGCCTGAGGGGAAGAGCAGTGGCGGAGCTGGGAGATTTCAGATGAGAAGATAAACCATGTGGAGAAAATTCACAACAACAGTCAGGCATTTGCATAATTTCTAAACTGTGCCCTGCAGCAACTCTGTAATATCGAACTTACTTTAGACTGTACTGTGATCTGAAACTCTCTCCATCATTACCACAATCCTCGCCCACCATGTTCTGTGAAGGCAAGTGAAGAAATCAATAAGTCAATGAATTGTAATGCAGTGATGACCAGATCATCTCTTGGTAGGAAGAGCCCATCCACCCATAGTTTAGCTGATGCTAGTTCCCTTAATGGAGCAAACTGATTCAGTCCCAATTCTCTGTACCTTGTCTGAAGATCAAAACTAGGACCCAGATCCCAGAAATTGGTACATTGTTTATCAGACTTTCTTCCTTGGTCCCAGTTCTAGTATTGCCCACAAAATGTACAATCAATTCACTTTACAGTATAATCTGTGAAGTGCTTTGAGATGTCTCAAAGACATGATAAGAGGTTATATCAAATGCAAGGAATATTATTCTCAATAGAGTCTGCTGAGATAAAGAATAATAAATTACAGGCACTTATTCATATTTTGAGGGAAATTCTCTCGTTCATAGACTTCTTTTATGGTCTTTCCTTTTTTTTGCTCACAGAAATCTTGTTCCAGTGATTGACAAATACGACGGGCTGTTTGAATGATGCGGTTTTACACCCAGATAAAACATAGTCGCTCCATTTCACAGTACATCCTGATCATTCACTTCACTTTGGGACAGCCTCCTGACATGAAAGGTGCTGTATCAAATGTAAAGATTATTATTATTACTGTGAGACATTTGCAGTATCTCACTATCTGCTACATGCAAAAGAAACAACTTAATTTGCATTTATTACCATGGAGAGAGAGTGCACTATCGGATTGTTTGCTGGCTCATACATAGAATAAGCAACACACTTTGATATCGTCCAAATATCCTGCACGATAAATTTCAGTTCAACTGATTGCTCCAAAAGTGTCGGTGCAAATGGCAATCACATGAAACTAAGCTATAATAATAATAATTATAATCCTTGCATTTGATATAGTGCCTTATCATGCCATTGAGACGTTTCACACTTTTGCACACTTGGGGCACGGGTAAAGAGCAGGGGAACTCGATTGCAGAAGACAGCTGTTGTCGGAGAGATGCAAAGTGAAGTGACTGTATATTTTGTGGCGTGAACAATGGATTTCACAGATGGTTGGTGGAGAGCCCATTCACTAAGTTGGTATTGACTTGGTTGACTTTAAGCGCTCCGGGAAGCAACCCTGCATGAAGGGCGCTATATAAATAAAAGTTGTCGTTGTTGATTGATTGAGTTGAAAGGCAGTCGGTTTATTTGGTTTGCAAATATTGCCCATTAGATATTAAAAAGAATTCATTCTGACAGATTTCTGCTTCCCCAGAAATCACCCACATCGAACAGGCAATGATTCTTAAAACTCCCGTGAAATGCCTGTTTCTCCTGTTTCTCCGGTACATGGAGTCCTGTAGCTCAGTGGTTAGAGCACTCGCCTTGCAAGCGAGACACCTGGGTTCAATTCCAGGCAGGGTGAAACCTTGGGCAAGTTTCCTTACTCCACACAGAGCCTAATAATAATCCCTCCAAAACAAAAAAACAATAATAAATTGGTCATTTTCAATCTACGACTGTTTGTGGGACATTGCTGTGCCCAATTGGCTGCTGCGTTCGCCCACAAATATACAGTCAATTCACTTTACAGTGTGTTCTGTGAAGCACTTTGGGATGTCCTCCCGACGTGAAAAGCGCTATATTAAATGCAAGGATTATTATTATTATTATTATTGCTGTGCCCAATTGGCTGCTGCGTTCGCCCACAAATATACAGTCAATTCACTTTACAGTATATTCTGTGAAGCGCTTTGGGACGTCCTCCCGACGTGAAAAGAGCTATATCAAATGCAAGGATTATTATTATTATTATATAATAAGTAATCCATGCATTTAATCTGGAACTTTATCCCATTCAAATATCTCAAAGTGCTTCATAGTTTTCATAGTGACTGTGTATTTGTAGACGAACCAGTGCCAATTTACACCATGCCATGTCTCACCAACAGAGATATTGTAGCTTCGACTAATTTTACTTACAGTATTTTATTGCCTCTTGATGAAGTTTCAACGTTAATCATTTCCATTCTGATCTAGTGATTTGGGTTTAACCAAGAATGGTACATCAACAGGATGCAGCTGGAAGTGACTATTATCTAACCAGATGTCAACTTATTTAATACTGATACCGACAGAGACAGAAAGTGACAGAGATATTTGCTAGCCCAGTCTACGCCTCCAATAAACCTGGTTCAGTTAAGTCACGTTAACTGTGTGGCTCGTGTGAAATTGAGTCACAGAGACCAGTTAGGTTTTCCCAATCTGATTTCCTAGAAGTTCGTGCTTTCTGGTGCGATGTGACATGTCAATTTTCTTTCTCGGGGAAAGACCAGGGGAAATTCGTTTGGAGAGACAGCTAAAGTAGGAGAGATACAAGGATTGAGCAGGGGAATGGGATTAGAGAAGATAGCGCCAATGGGACTGAGAGGAGGAAAGAGAAGAGGAATGGGACTGATCTACAGCTAACAGTATGAACAGTAATTGATAGCTTTTGTAACGGATCCGGCTATTGATATACTGAGACGTCGAATTACAGTAAGCTGGGCTGCTATGTTAGGATCCCATTGGCAAGGAGATTGAACACTAGCCACTATAGGCGAGGTGACGTTAGGTTAAAAATGCAACACATTATGAAAAACAAATGCTTGTTTCATCAATTGGGCCAAGTTAGGAGTAGGCAAGTGACAAGTTCAATCTCTGGTCTTATTAATAATAATAATCATAATAATAATCCTTGTATTTGATACAGCGCCTTATCACCTCTTCGAGACGTCTCAAAGCGTTTCACAGAATATACTGTAAAGTGAATTGACTGTATAATTTCTGGGCGAAACGCATTGATCACAGGACAATGGGTGGTCTCTCATTCACGTGGATTCACATATATTTTCCCACCTAAACATTGCTCCGCCTTGAGATATCTCGGTTCACAACCAGAGCTTCAATCCAGCATCGAGAACCTGTTTCTGTTTAACTTTATGGTTCGTTCTTATAATAATAATAATCAAAATAATAATAATCCTCACTTTTGATGTAGCGCACCATCACGTCATTGAGACATCTCAAAGCGCTTCACAGAATATAGTGTGTAGTGAATTAACCGTGTATTTTGCATAGCAGCGTCCCACAAACAGTCATGGATTGAATGACCAAATTATTATTACGTGGTATCACAACCCTCAATGTTAATTTTTCAATGTTGTGATCCCGACTGAGTTCAGCTGTTTTTTGGGGCTGTCGTCTCTGATACTAATTATACTTTTTATAAGTTTGCAAGAGAAATCTGTAATAATAATAATAGTAATAATCCTTGCATTTGACATAGCGCCTTATCATATCTTTGAAACGTCTCAAAGCGCTTCACAGAATATACTGTAAAGTGAATTGTCTGTATATTTTGTGGAAGAAATGCGGTAGCCAGGTGCGCACAGCAGTGTCTCACAAATAGTTGTGGATTGAGTGACCAAATTGCTATTGGTATTTTTTTTGAAGGGATTATTACCCCGGGAAAAGCAATCCGCCAATCGACTGACAAATATGCAGTTTCGTCCACAAACATACAGTCAATACACTTTACAGTATATTCTGTGAAGCCCTTTGAGACATCTAGAAGATGTGAAAAGTCCTTTATCAAATGCAAGGATTATTATTATCAATATACAACCGGGTTCCTACTTACTGCTAGGTAAACAGAGGCGTGCGGAGTAAAGAAACTTCACTACACCCCAGTCTGCAAGCAATACTCTCTCACTCTCTCTCTCTGATCCAAACTATTTTCTAGTGGGTTGGACATGATACTTTCAGAAACAAATTAAAAATTACTCACCTTCTGGTGAGGCTCTGTGTGAGCCATGCCTGACTGTGGGTTGGATTTGGATCAGTCCTTTTTCGTCTCTGCTCTTTCTCACTGCCTACCGATCGTTGAACCAAACCCCACTTTGCATACGATGTCAATTTGCCCTCCTCCAGGGGCAGGCAGAGAGGCAGCTCTGCGCTGGTCAGCAACACAATGCTTTACTTTACTTACCACAGTGTTGTTAAACTCGCAACATGTCACCCCCTATCGGTGACAAGTCAACCCGCCATCTCCTCTAACTACAGTGGAGTCCTGTAGCTCAATGGTGAGAGCGCTCGCCTCGCAAGCAAGAGACCTGGGTTTGATTCCCGGGCAGTGCGAAACGTTGGGCAAGTTTCCTTACTCCACACATCTCTGTTAGCAGTAAGTAAGAACCCAGTTGTTAGTCAATAAAAAAAATTGGTCACTCAGTACACAATGTTTGCGGGACACTGCTGTGCACAATTGGTTGCCCCGTTTCACCCACAAAATTTACAGTCAATTCACTTTCAGTGTATCTTTGAAGCACTTTGAGACGTCTCAAAGACGAGATAAGGTGCTAAATCAAATGCAAGGATTATATTATTATCTCCAACCTGGTCTTCTGCTGACTATCTGTCTCCTGCTCCCAGTCAAAACCCCGCCTAACACACACACCAAATAATTTGACTGGGGTAGACAGGAACTACTTTCTACGCCTTAGGACGTCCTCCCGACTTGAAAGGCTGTATAAAAATGTAATTTGTTGTGGGTGTTGTGACGGGTCGGTGGCTGTAAGCCACATCCCTTATGATAGGGCTGGTGTCAACTCCAAGCACATGCCAAACCCCAACTTAGCATTGCAGTTTAGGCTTTGTCCCTTCTGCTAATTTTTTCACCAGAACAGGCGTATCTCAGGAATTCTTCAACCGTGCTTACGGTCACCCTCCTCTCTCCACCCCCACGGCTCGGTGTCAGGCTCCGCCACTGTTAAGCGCTCCGAGACGCTACATAAATACAAGTTGTTGTTGTAACGTCTCTTGTGAAAGGCTTGGTTATTGCCCTGCACTGGAGCATCAGCCTAAACTGGGAGCTCAGAGTGCCGACATGGGGCTTGAACCCACAAACTTGTGACTTGGGGGTGTGGGGGTGGGGGGGGAGTGCAACCAACTGAAACAGGCTGACACGAATGCTTTGTGCATGGTTGACACAGCTGCAACCACAATCTGTGTGTAGATCGCACACGGATGTGCACATATAAGTCTTCCCTCAATATTTACCTGAAATACTCCACTGTTGGAGCCAACACACAGTATTTGTATAAACATCTGAAAGAAGCCTTCACACCAAGCCACCACCTCTAGTGGATATACAGGTGTAAGGACAGTGCTGGTGTTAATTTTTCCGGTGCCTGTAGTATTAGACATTTCCTTGTGAGGGCAGACTTGTTACTTAATAATAATTCGTACATTTGATTACAGCGCCTTATCACACTTTCGAGACGTCTCAAAGCACTTCACGGGATATACTGTAAAGTGAACTGACTGTATAACTTGTGAATGAAACGCGGCAGCCAATTGCGCACAGCGGCGTCCCACAAACAGTCGTGGATTAAGTGACCAAATTATTATTTTTTTTAAGCGAGTTTTATCCCCCCTGAAAGCAATCCGCCAATCGACTAACGCTCGGGTTCCTGCTTACTCCGAGGGAAACAGAGGGGTGTGTTTTAAACGATGCCCCATTTTGAATTCCGTTCCTCTCAATGGGTGGAATTGAATCCATCAGAGCCACAAGACTGGGCAATGGAGCTGCTTGATTGATGAGTTCCTTGTGCATTGCGTTGAAGGAGATTGTGGGTACACTTCAATTTGTGATGCTTGGATGTTTGTCTATTTTCAATGCAGCACTGGGCTATAAATTGGAATAACGTTTGAAGGACTTTAAAGTTTTCTAAGGGCCCATTTTCCAGAGAGAATCTATCGATGTTGAAATGATACGTCACCATGCTTATAGCAGTGCCTATGGTCAATTAGAGAAGTTGGAAACTACGTGAAATAAGTAAACTATGACTTAGATACAGAGTTTATATACTAATGGGAAGGGGAAGCAGTTATTTAAATTTTCTATGTATTTGCACACAGACATGGATTCCCAGTTAATTATTTCATTGCCTCCTTTTAATATATAATATAATAATCCTTCCATTTGATATAGGGCTTTATCACGTCTTCGAAGTGTCTCACAGAATATACTGTAAAGTGAAGTGACTGTATATTTTGTGGTAATCAACTTCAGCATTCATTTACGTACAAACACACAGTCAGTGCACTTTACAATGACAGCCATTGAGACGTTTTGATGACGTGATGAGGTTCTATGTTAAATGCGAGGATATTCTTATTGTCATTTTGCTTTGTTTTGTTTTTCTCTCGTCTGCTACTTAATTGGAACTTCTATTTGGTGGTGTAGAGGCAGGTGTGAGTGACTGACAGAGATCAGCAGGGATATTCATTACCTGGAGCATTGGATGTACCATATGGGGAATTCTCTGCATGCAAAGGTCTGCCCTACAGTCTCGCATCCATACATCTGGGAATTTTCAAGAGCTGCTGTTCAGTAGCTATTTATAATGAGTTGTGCGAGCTCTTAGTCATCAAAAAGAAAATATTTACAGGTTTGAAATTGTGAGTTAATACCTTTTAGCCTGTAAACTATTGTAACAATACAAATATCTATATATATAAAATTAATAATAATAATCCTTGTATTTGATATAGCGCTTTATCACGTTATACAATACAGATACATATATCTGTAGTTATAACAATTGCACTGACTGCATTGTAATGTTCTGATTTATTTCACTTTTGCAATTTTTCCAAATACCTAACGTGCTTATTGTGTGGCTCCCCTGAGAAATGCGGTGTTATATTCAATGTGTTCATCGTTATTTTGGACCAACCAGGCCTTTAGAGGTGTAGTTCTGACGAACGGTCATGGACCTGAAACGTTAACTCACTTTCCTCTCTCCATAGATGCTGCCTGATCTGCTGCGTGTTCCCAACCACTTCTGTTTTTATTACAGTCTGTGTAGGTTTTGTTACGATTGCTCAGAGCCACTTCTTCTCTAATGCCAATCCCACTTGACTGCTGTGGGGGGCGTGTGTGAGCCATAAATTCATGACTTGGGTTCAGCACTCTGCGCTTGGTCAGAAGGATAATGACCAAAACTCAGCAGAAGTGAAACAAACATCCAAATCAGATATCAGGAAACAGCAGGAACATGAGATTAGAACAGGCAATGCCAGAGAAAACTTCCCTCTACGCTGCTCCTCTCCTTCGACTCCACCCCCCCCCACCACCACCCCTTCACGAAATGACCCATTAGTGTCAACTGTCCTCTCCTGGCTTTACTTGGACAATAACCATCTAGGTGCTGACTGACTAAAGTAAACAATACAACAACAGCTGGGATTTATATAGCGCCCTTCACATAGGGTAAGGTCACACGGGCTAGACTCTAGATGATTTGAAGCGGCAGGATTTCAAGCAGGAATACTCCTCAATGATTTCTCTGCTGAGGTCTGTGAATGGAAAGGAGGATAGTGGAACGATAGCGAAAGAATATCATAGAGTTCGATCTTCGCTCGTATACATACAACGCGCGAGCCAGGAGATGGGTTGAAGCTCTCTATAGCGTGGGTTAACTGTGGCCTGCGGAAGGTATCGGTTTGAAGGGCCAAATGGAAACTGCTTTAGTTTCTATTTTAAAGTGTTATCGTTGATCTATTCTACTGGCACAAGTTCTCCCAAGGACAAAATGATGGGAAACTGGCAAAGAGACAAGAGAAACCTGCACAATACTCCGGACTGTGTGAGTGATAGGCTGTTTGGTGGCTTTTGCACCGAATTCTTGTGCTCGTCAAATGAGGGATGTCAACACTAGGGACTCTTTCCCACTTCACATATCTGGTGTCAGCATCAAGCATTGCCATGTCAGACAGAGTGCATTCACCTGCAAAACAAAGGTGTTTTTCTTTCTCTCTCTCTTCCTTTCTCTCTCTCTCTCTCTCACACTCACTTACTCACTCTCTTATTCTCTTACTCTCTCACTGTTTCACGTGCTCGCTCATTCACTCGCTCACTCTCTCACTCACTCGCTCACTCACTCTTTCATTTGCTCGCTCACTCTCTCGCTCACTCGCTCACTCTCTCACTTTCTTATTTGCTTGCTCGCTCACTCACTCGCTCGCTCGCTCACTCATTCACTCGCTCTATATTATGGGCTGACAATGCCCCTCGATGCCAACTTCAGAAAGGTACTCACAACCTATGTGTAATTTTCCCGTTCCGTTGTTCCGAGGGATGCTCTCAATTAAAGGGCAGATGTAAGCTTTCACATCATGTGAAACTAAATTAAGACTTATTTGTGGGACTTTTACAGCGGGCACACAGAGAATACAATACAATACAATTGACATTGATACAGCGCCTTTCACATTGGGAGGATGACTCCAAACACTTTACATAGTTGGCTGGACACCTGAGCCGGCAGGGGAGAGGAGAAGCTGAAGAGCGTGGTGTGTGTGGGGGGGCGGGGGGGGGAGGCGAAAGATAATAATCTTTGCTTTTGATATAACGCCTTATCACGTCGTTGAGATGCCCCAAAGTGCTTCACAGCGTGTGTTTTGTAGGGGAAACGCGGCAGCCAGTTGCGCACAGCAATGCCGTACAAACTGACCAATTTTATTTCGGGGGGATTGTTTGGCTACGACACCGGTAGAGAGAAACTCCCCTCTCTTTTCGAGTAGAGCCGCGGGATCTTTAACATCCACCTGGACAGGCAGGCGGGGACCTCGGTTTAACGTCTCCGACATTTTCCCGACGCTTTCCTGCATTGCACTGGAAGTGTCAGCGTAGACATGCGAGCTCAAAGTCCTAATGTGAGGGTTGAACTCGCAGACTTGTGACTCAGAGGTGAAAGTGCAATCCACTGGAACACAAGATGACTATTAGTAAAACACAAGGTTATTATGCGGCTAAACACTCAAGCGCTCTTCGGCTCAGAAATGCTGTGCGCTGTTACATTATGTCCTCAGCCTTATCTATTTATTATG